TTGAAAATGGCGCCGGGGTATCATACTCCAAAATGTACCATTTGTTTTATTTCTTTTTAATGGTACAATATAGTGACACGATAATATTTACATATGTTTTCAGCATAATTCTGAAGGTATTAATGATATCTTGATGTATTGGGTATTTTTAATATTTTTTATAAAAAATAATGTTTACATTTTTGTCAGCTGTGATGGAGCAGTTTTAACTGTGAACTACGTTAAGAATTTAAGATTCAAATTATATCTTTTAAAAGTACCCTTAGAAGAGAGAATGTCACAAATTACTTTCCTAAATAATGACAAGCAGCCTCTTGGAGATATGGGGTAATGTAAATCTGAGATATAAAAACGACCACTCTTAGCATTTTCGGAGGTTTGTCCTGAAATCAACATGAATCAAAATGATGAAAACTCGGGTGCACCCCAGTTGTCCGAAATCCAGTTGTCCGAAACCCAGTTCTCCGAAACCCAGTTCTCCGAAACCCAGTTGTCCGAAACCCACTTGTCCGAAACCCATTACTCCGAAAAATATAGTCATAATTTACCAGAGAAAGGGGAACCGTACTAAGCTTAGGTCAGTTTCATGCCATGTATTTGGCCAAATTAATGGCATGGACGCATTCTGATGTTCATAGATCTCTCTCTCTCTCTCTCACTTTGAATTGCATCCATTGCACGCGTTACCAGAATGGCAGGAACGGGGGATTTATTTTACATTGTGATTCTAAAAAAAGGTTATCAAAACACAATATATATTACGGAACAGTTTATCTTATCTTCTTCAATCTCTTTTATATAGGCAAAATAAAATGAATCATTTTGAAACAGATAAAATAAGTTTACGCATATAGTACTTTAAGAATAAAACAGTATACATATTACGTTGTCAAAATATTTCGACAATGAGAATAACATAATTTAACTTTGTTTGTTTGAACATCTATATCACCTGTATATGAACTTTCGTAGGCTAAACATTTAAACAATTAACGTCTTGACTTCGCATATTTAGCCTAATTTTGCAATGATGTCAACGTTATTCCAATGTTATGTTGTGATTCGCAGAGGTTGCGACAACGAGATTCGTTTAAAAAAATTGTATTTTTCAAATAAGATCCCCTAATTTTCGGACAACTGGGTTTCGGACAACTGGGTTTCGGACAACTGGGTTTCGGACAACTGGGTTGACCCCTGAAAACTCAACATAATATTCTAATACGTTTTCGCCTAGACGTCTTGAAATGTCACGTGTAGTGTAAATAGGGCTAATATGAATTTACTTATTCGAAATAGCGCACAGACATCATGCATTCCGACAGATGTATAACCTTTTACCACATAATATTATATTACTGTATACTAGTATAAGATGATCCCAATACAGATTTAATTTGTAATTATACGAAATTCATGAAATTCATCGTTTTGCATAGACTAAAATTATAAAAAAAGTCTTTGTAAACGTGCTGCACTGTAAAACCTGTATCAATGAATATCTTTCTCTAGTGAACACCTCTTCTTATCAAATATTCCTCTGACTTCTGTATGAAATTGCCTATATGGAGTGAACATCTATACCAACTGGGAACACATTTTTGGGCTCCATATGTGTTCACTGTACACATATTTTACTGTAGTTGCATCAGATAGCCATAACTCTTAGTCAAATAAAGAACGATCTTTAAATCAAATTTTGCATTTTCGTATTTCAAGATACATTCAACTTACCTTTTGGAACGACTAAAGAGGGTAGAACAATCCACAGTCCATACCATTATATGTATTTAGCTTCATCTTCAGCAAATCATTTTACTTCAAATAATTAAGTTACCTTAAAAAATGACCATGTCAGGCCGATGGATCCACAGAGGGCACTACGAAAGGCAAATACCCTTTACTGAAATGGAAGTTGACTATCATTTTCATGAGTTACCATTAGAGCTGGCATCAAATGTCGGAATGGTTGATTGTCAGTCGAATGCTCTCTGCGACACCCATGTCGACAAAAACGCCTCTTGATCGACAGTCGGAACTCACAACATAATAAGCTATTTCCCTATGAATTAAAATCTTTGTTACTACCTGTTGTGTGGTGTATTTTAGTGAAGTTTTACCGCCTACATTTTCAAATTTTCTTTTTTGTTTTGATCGACTTCCTGCTCTCGAATTAGGTCTCGGGGCCCCTCGAGTTTACCCTCGAGATTTATTTTCAATGGCTGCCCGGAAATAACAACAGAAATCGTAGTTTTATGTCTATTTATTGCTTTTTCGTCAAAGTCGGATACTTGAACATGGTTTACCTGTAAGTTAAATATAAAACATACAACTGAGGATGACTATTGTGCATCGTATTGCTAATTACAAGCCTAGAAAATCCAAAATTCTGACGGATATTTTTCATTTTTCCAATATCATTGGACCCGACAATGTCGATATCGTTGTCGATCGAGAGCTCCGACATGTTGACATTAAAATCTTATTCGATGCCAGCTCTAGTTACCATGCATAAGTTGGATTGCAGTACAAACTTAGAAAAGAAGCTTAAAGAGTGGTCGTATATACATCTCAGAATTTGAATTGTGTACTTTTATTACGTTTCATTTTTCAGAATACTTTACGAAAGAGATTTGACACGGTCGCTCCTCTAAAGTTTAGTTGTAAAGAAATATATTATGAATCTAAATTCTTAACGCAATTCAGATTTAAAACTGCTCCGTCACAGCGGACAAAAAAATTAATTATTATTTTTATCAAAAAAAAACCAATACATAAAGATCTCATTAATACCTTCAGAGTTATGCTGAAAACATATGTAAATATTATCGTGTCGCTATATTGTACCATTAAAAAGAAATAAAAGAAATGGTACATTTTGGAGTATGATACTCCGAGGCCGTTTTCAATAGCTTTTACTCATAGCGTTGTTGGACTTCAAACAGAATTTAAAGTTACCCGCAAATGATATATTCATTGCATGGAGTCAGTAATTTTCTTCGATATAGCAAAACATATGAGTAAAAAAATAGATTGTGTGGATTTCCTAGTGATTCTATGCAAAATAGCACGCTCCGTCACAGCGGACAAATTTTTCGATACCAGCCTGTGATTTAGTATGTATTCTGGTCTGGTCTGGTCTGGTGTTCTGGTCCTGGATTGTGATGTTGGTTCTCGATTGGTGGGGGAAAGGGGGAATTGGACATTGTTTCTTTTCACTTTAGATCATGGTTTTGGGATATATAGGGTCTATTTTTCGTATGGCATGTTTGCACTTGCAGTTTTCTTGCTGGGTTTCTTCACAGTGTTTGGTCCTTTCCCTTCAGCATTTGTGCTTCTATATTTAGGTAGATTAAAAGCCATATAAAGGTTATCTCTATAAATGTTCCCTGGTTATGTTAACTTAACTGTCATCGACATTTATGCCTAATTAAAATGTATATACTACCATATATTCATTCACCTGTGGCCTCATCCCACCTGAGTGTCTGTTTCGTATTATATATATATAACCTTTTAGTAAGGCAATGAACCATCCTTACCCTTGACAAAATAAAAAAATTTGTGGGGGATCAAAGTGGGTGATATTGGGTTTGTTCTGTCACCAGCAGATGTGGTGACATATTGTTATAGTCTCCAGCTTTTTGTGGATGGTGTTTGGTGGTTTGTGTTTGGCATTCAGTCATCGGTGGTAGGTGTTCAGTATCTGTAACAAATGGGATGTGGAGACATTTTGCATTTTAATGCCTTGTTTTCTCTGTGACTGGTTGTATTTCCAGATTTCTCTTTGGTGATGTTTGATCTATTCCTTCAAGTGTTCAGATTATAATTTTAATGAAATTGCTCTTGTACATGCTTATTCCGATCCCACCGTAATCATATGCAGGTTTGAATTTTACCCCTTTACATCTCACAATAGTCATTTTATTGCATAAATCATTTACCTCTACATTTTGTTGACCTTTATAAATCTCAGTCTTTGAATCACTCTTTAAAACGGTGTAACAAACAATTCCAATGTGTCCTTGGGTATAGGCACTTAAGGATTTAAGCAGATAAGGGATGTGATTATTAGAGTTCGGTGATTGAAAAAAACAATTTTAAGATCCATTTTTGTTGTTTTCTCAATTTAATTGTTATGTTTATTGGATATTGTTATGTTATGTTATATTTATTTTCATATTATAATTATTACAATCTGAATAACAAGGTTTGCACAAGACGCTGGGCGTATACTGTGCGTAAACTGTGCATATATTGTGCTATATTGTTTGTTTTACAGAAATAAACATGAATTGTTTTTGGCATTTATTAGTTACTCATTATTGCAATCTTAAGTAAAAATAGCATGAAGTATATACGGTTTAATGCCCTTGGGATTTGTGTTCACCCCAGCAGATTTTTGTTTTGTTATAACATCATTATCTTGGGAGTTTTCCTAAAAGATAGTAAGTGGTACATTAAGTACCTAATTAGACTCCTGACATTTAACTGTTTCTTAATCTGAGACAAATGACTTAGATAACAACCATAAACACCTGGGTTAAACCAATAGTGAAATCCTGAGATATCACCTAGGTAAATGGTGATGTTTGTTAGAAGAGTTCAACTGTCTCTTATAAGACGCACATGTTAATTAGCAGCATTTTTTTTAATGTTCTATTATCATAATTACCGCTTTCCAAAATAGCTTGTTTTAGAATTGATTTTTTCAAACATATGTTGCGTTAGCATCAAAGATAACTTCTTTTATCATAGCTATGTCTGTCATATTTGTAAGAACTTCTGCAATTTTTCTTAGTCATCACCATGGCTACATATTGATGGTCACTTTGACCTGATGCTGTTGTTCATTGTTCCCTATAAAACCTGATTGATGCTAACAAAGTTAATAAGTTAATAAGGATTATGATTAAAAGTGTGCAGACCAGTGTGTCCCAAATGTTTCATTTAATATCATTTACTGGGCTATCATGATTATAGCTTGCTAAAATTTAGCTTGTTTTTTATTTGACGCTAATTCCTCTCCCGCGAATTGCGCGTAATTAAAACCCACGTGTAATTTACCACATTTGCGGTAGTTCATTGGCAGAGCAAAGGTAACTGCTATTGCTAAGCTTTGGCTTCAATCCTCAATTTAGACAAATATCTTTTTATGTAATTCGAGGTGTTTGACTGTGGCAGAGCAAAGGTTACCGCTATTGCTTAGCCTTGGCTTCAATCCTCAATTTAGACAAATATCTTTTAATGTAATTCAAGGTGTTTGACTGTGGCAGAGCAAAGGTTACCGCTATTGCTTAGCCTTGGCTTCAATCCTCAATTTAGACAAATATCTTTTTATGTAATTCAAGGTGTTTGACTGTGGCAGAGCAAAGGGTACCGCTTTTGCTTAGCCTTGGCCTCAATCCTCAGTTTAGACAAATACCTTTTTAAGTCATTCAAGGTGTTTGACTGAGTTGTCCACATCTCATAGAAAAGGATTTAGTGTATAATTGTATGTCTGTGTACCAAAACACATAAAAGAACACGCAGCTTCTCCAAGGAGGGGTTTCTGTTTTTGAATGAAAAATATGTAAAATACAGAATACATGTATTCCAATAAGGTGGTAACCAAAATACAATATATTATGATCATATTGATAAGAATGGCACAAATTTAAATTTATTAATTCTTTCAGGTTATTGCTCGTGGAAACATCATTGACATTTCCCCCAAGAGTATGTCTGGGACAGTTGCAACTTTCATCATTGACATCACCAGTGTTATGGCCCCAACTGCCCGTATTATCGTCTTCTATATTGATGGGAATGAAGTCATTGCTGATAGTCTGGAGGTCAAGGTTGATGGTGCATTTAAAAATGATGTAAGTAAAGAAATTGATTGAATGCTGTATATTTGACACTCATCCCTTTATTACAATTTTATCTAAATAAAAAAACAAGATATGATTTATTGCTTTAATCTAGCTAAATTTTGTATGTGATTGTATTCTACACACATTTCTAGCATCTTCTATTGTTTTCCAGAAATATTTAAAGGTCGAGATATCAAGTTCAATGGAACCTTTTTTGTTGCGTTTCGCTCCAATTGTGAGCCTGTACATGGAATTGACTATTTGTCCATCTATCTCTCCATCCATCCATTCATCCTGCCGTCCATCTATCAGTCATCATCAATAATTTTCATGCCAAATGAAATTGGCATTCATCTTAACCAATGCCCATACCTATATTCCCATTGGTTCTGGGTTTCCCCTTTCCTTCATTTTTGAAAAATTGACATTTCATCATGTTAGCTGGCCAACTGGTACCATTTTTAAGGCAAGGGGAAATGTGCCTTTCGGGAATTCAGTTCTGAGAGGAATTTTTATTGCTATGATTTGAATGAACTCAATTATAACATCCATTTACCATGCTATACTTCAGACAGAATTATTAAGATTACGGATCAAAATCATGAGATCAGCATATTAAGTTGTGAGTGCAGGTTAGAAGACATTGACATGTTCGCAATCAGATTAATATTATTACAATGCTCAAGGTCATAAAGTCAGTGTAAAGTTTTGCTTGATCTTTCGGATGTGGCAAGTCTCGGGTAGAAAAGATAATTTTATCAACTTCAAAATAAAGTTGAATTTTGAGTGGGATTTTCAAATTTAAATGCGCGGGACGACCATTTTTGTATAAAATTCTTCACTGTTATACAAATAAATTCATACTGCATAAAGTACCTAAAAATATTGCTATTTCAATTTTCTTTTAATATTTTGAAAACAATTCAAATACAAAAGATAATATATTTCTAGATGTTTTGCTTTTGGCACTATATTCATTTATGAATTCATGTTATTTGGGATTGCATTTGTTTTTATTATTGGTTCACATCAAGCAAATCAATTAAGAACAAAATGAGCAAGGCAAGTAGCTTGGGAGACATATAGCTGGAAATACATCTCCAGGTATATCAAGTGTTTTGACAATTCCAAATATGATGAATATTAGTATTATGCCCTTGAGATGTACATCACAAAATGGCAAACATATATTTGTATTTTCAGGCAATTATTTATTTATTTATTTTTTGAATCCTTAAATAGAAATATTTGTATATAAAGGATTCATCCACCCTTATCTTTTATGTATCATATTATTGTAAGTTTTGGAAAACTGCTCCCATAACATATTACTTGTTTCTTTAACACACTTTGAAAGAGTCCTTGCGGATAAGGTCAATATACTATATTGATGTACGCCTACAAAAGTAGTAAATTACATTTGGGGAATTGTTAATTAGACTTTATTGTTATTTTATCAAATTTTGAAGAAGACAAAGAATACCTACCTTTCTAGAGGAGGGGGGGGGGGGTAGTATATATTGACCTACTCCTCAAGGGTAAACTGTTACATATCTTTGATCTAATATCCTGTACCCATTGCAATTTTATAATAAAATTCCTTATTGAACAAGCTCTCCCACATTTACGACTGATCTAAAATCAAAAGACCATCTTAATATATGATATCAATTATTTTTGGACTATCTTTATGTCAGTGGTCATATTTTTTTTCTGTAACATTTCATCATTATTAAAGTATAACTCCATCAGAACAGATTTGATATGGATTAGTCTTTTAGATTTGATTACCAATATAGGTCACTGTATATATTGAAAGCATATCAACCGAATTGGCACCTTTTTTTAGATGTTTTGGAAAAATTCATCATTAAAAAAAATTTCAATTTTCATTCTTTGTTACTTTAAAAGGAGAGTAAAGATGTCAGTCAGATAGAAAAAAATTTGGTATTTATTATTATATGTTACACATTTCTAAATAGTTAATTTGTTTCTTGAGGTATATGGGGTGTATTTGGGATGGTTGGAATCCCCTCCTCATGGCCAGTTTTTGAAGGTTCCTTTTATCTACATCTTTATAAAAACTATTTTGTTTTGCTGAAATGTTTAAAATTATTTTTAAATTATATCAGGTAACAGTTGATGTTACCACTATGAGGGACTCTACTGTAGGAATCTTAGCTTATATTTGTTTTATTTTTATTAAATTATATTAGGTAACAGTTAGCTTCAGCACAGATCAGGCAAAGCCTGCTGAAGAAGTAACAGTTGATGTAACCGCTATGAGGGGCTCTACTGTAGGAATCTTAGCTTATATATTTGTTTGTTACCACTATGAGGGACTCTGCTGTAGGAATCTTAGCTTATGTATTTGTTTTATTTTGAAATTATATTAGGTAACAGTTAGCTTCAGCACAGATCAGGGAAAGCCTGCTGAAGAAGTTACAGTTGATGTTACCGCTATGAGGGACTCTACTGTAGGAATCTTAGCTATAGACCAGAGTGTTCTACTTCTGAAGACAGGAAATGACATCACACAAGCAGATGTATGTATTACAAAGAAAGCAAATGTTCTGACATCATCATTTAACATCTTCTATATAAAGTTGAATTTACTCTTTTTTCAGAATTTTTAAATTTTTATAATATATATTTTGGATGAGTATACACATCAGCGAACATCTGATTTTGCAAACTTACTCAATAAGTTGATAGGATAATAGTTTAATGTACATACTGTATGAGTAAGTTTATAAAGTTAAAAAAACAGTTTCACATAACACATTTCATAACATTGGGCAAAGCTACAATATAAGCAAAGTGGTTTAAATTTTACATGGGGCCTTTAAGGTGCTTGGTGAACTGGGCTCATATGACACATCAGAAGATGATGATGACAGCTGGCAAGGTCCTTGGTTCAAGAGAAGAAGAAGGAGATCGTTCTGGTGGCCCTGGTTTAACATTGGAGCTGACGCAACTGAGATGTTTGAGGTAAAATTATGAATTTAAAAGGAGTGGTATCGATATGGAGAACTTTTTGAACACAAGTTTCTCTTAAACCAGTCATCATTAACAAATCTAAAAAATTTTCGTCAATTTAATGGTCATCTTTTGAATGGTAACAATATAATTTGAAAACTATATATACTTTCTTCTATATTGTTTTAGAAAACACATCAAACACTTGTTTTGTTCTTGGTATCATGTTTCCAGAGTGAAATGAAACATCTTTCCGAACCTCATTGGAACAAAACGACATAAACACAACATGTTTAGGTCTCTCAATATTGTAATTGTATAAAGGAAATGTTGGTTGATTTTAAAAATCTATCTTGTTAATGAAATAAAAGGTTTATCTTGATTTTATCTATTTGGGGGAGATTTTGTTTTAATCTTTTGAATACTTTTTTAAAATCAACCAAAAATTCCTTTGTATAACTATATTATTGAGAGGTCTATACATGTTGTATATGCTATTTTGTTCCAACAAGGTTCGGAGAGACATTTTATTAAAAAACAAAAAATGTTAACAAAAACAGTTATATAAAATATTTCTAAATAATTTTCGCATTAAATTGTTGTCAATCAGTCAACATTACATAAAATACCGTGTTTTTTACAGAATGTTTTCAATGATTGGTTTAAGAGAAAAACATTGTTGAATTCAGTTCTCCATATCGATACCAATCCTTTGGCTCAATAGTGGCTTGGCTACATAACTTTGAAATCTCATTGGAGTCTCATATTTATTGAAACTTTAGAAGATTTGCATATAAACATCAAGGAATAACACTTTGTTCTGTATTCTCTGTTATGTGCAATTTTCTAAGAATAATGTAATTTTTATCAGTTTTTCAGTATTCTCAAAGGCAATAGTATACTAGCACAACTAATGCCACTATAGCCATCTAATTTCCATCTTAATAGCAAGCCCTCTTCATGGTATCTTTAGCTGTTATATAACTATAGCTGCTAGTTATCCCACAGGAGAATGGTCTTGAAATATTTGCAACCTTTTGCTTTGTTCCTGTATATTTATTATCATTTGAATCCAACTAGAATACCTTGTCAAAATCCCTTGCATTTTTGATATCATTTTAAATTCTTCACCAAGTTGCATTCTAGTGACATCTATATGTGATAGAAAATTGTAGTTCTGGGTTGTGAATTGTTGGACGAAGGTGGTGACTCTTGGCTGTTTCTTTAATGTTTTGTCATTGGATTTAGGGTGTATTTTCTTATGACCGTGGTGCAAGTGAATTTAATATGGTTGCATAATATTTATTTGTTTTACACAGTGTTATCTCACTCATGTAACCACAATCTAATTTTTAGGATTGAAATCCTGCTCGCAGTCAGAAAAGCATGTACAAAAATAGAGCCTTAATGGTTTCATTAAGACTAATTGTACCTTTTGAAGTTCTGTTACTGTATTTCTGTACTTTTAACTTTTTTTGCTAAGGACCTGCTCCCAAAGTTATGTTTTCACATCTTATTGAAGAATCTGTAGATATTTTTAAGTACCTTTGATGTGAATATAAACTTAATTAAATATTATTCATTTCAGAATGCTGGTGTAAAGATTCTGACTGATGCATACATTCATAAAGAACAAGATGATTATCGTAAGTGAATTCTTTCAACCTTTTAGACCTCTCATTTCAAATGGTGTACATGTGAATAAACATATACTCATAGTACAATGGAAAAGAGATAGATCATACATGCTTTTTATGTTACCACCAGAAGTAGTAATATATTGTTAAGTCTTTAGGTTTTTTTGTGAACGGTGTTCAGTGTTTGGCATTTGGTGGTTGGTGTTTGTTACAAATGGCAGGTGGTAACATTTAGCATGTTTATGCCTTGTTATTATTTATACGCCCCTGGATGGAGCAATGAATATTTTTTTACTAAGGTAGGGAAGGATTCAAATTAATTTTAGAACACGTCAATGATACACACTTGTTATTGTTATTTTATTTTACCAGAACATGTAAATTGCTGCTAATGTTGTAAATTTACGCTAATGTTCTAGAACCCTGGCAATTAATGAAATGTACGAGGAAAGATCCAAAAGTTTCCGGCCTAACATAGTTTCCGATGTCTGAGAGCAACCATTCTTCACAGTTCAAATGTTGCTTATGTATGAACATAATTTATGCATATGATTAACCTCTAGGGGTCACAGCCTCATTTTGAGAATATTCATAATGAGGTCAGGTCACAGTGGCTGCACATCAGTGATCACAATGGAGAAAACTGAATATAGAGCTGTGATAAAGTTTCTATATCAAGAAGAAAATGGAGGGCAGGAAATCTACGATAGACTTAAGGATGTGTATGGGGAAGGTGCTCCCTCCTATTCTACTATAAAATTTTGGGTGGCTGAATTTAAACATGGACGGGAATCAATTGATGATGCACCACGTTCTGGAAGACCTAAAGATGTCACTTCAGATAGAAATGTTGATTTTGTACATCGAACAATATTGGAAGATAGGCGGAAATCTATACGTGAACTTGTAGAAGAAACTGGATTATCATATGGTACCATTTGTAGAATAATTCATGAAGATTTACACATGCAAAAGTTAAGCTCAAGATGGGTGCCCCGTATGCTCACAGAGGACATGAAAACAAAACGAGTTGCTGTTGCAAGAGAGCTTTTGGACATGTATAACACTGATCCACAAGGTTTTATGGAGAGAATAGTCACTTGTGATAAAACATGGGTGCGTCATTTTGAACCTTCAACCAAACATGAGTCAATGCAATGGAACCATATGGGGTCCCCACCCCCAAAGAAGTTTCGCACCACCCCATCCAACAAAAAGATGATGGCCACCATTTTCTGGGACTGTGAAGGTCCTATCTTAGTAGACTACCTTCCAAGAGGTACTACAATGAATGGAGAATATTATGCTGCTTTGTTGCGTACTTTAAAAGCTAAACTTGATGAAACCAGGCCACACAAAGTCCGTCTTAGAGTTTTGCATCAACAGGACAATGCACCTGTTCACACAAGCCAAGTTGCTCGTGATGCAGCGGAAGAATGCCATCTGGAATTATTACCGCACGCACCCTATTCTCCAGATCAAGCACCCAATGACTATTACCTATTTGGGAAACTCAAAAAATCTCTACGAGGGCAACGCTTTGATGATGATGATGATGAGGTCAAGATAGCTGTTAACCAGTGGTTGGAGGGTCATACTCCTGATTTCTTCAGAACTGGACTTGAGATGCTGCCAAGAAGATGGACCAAGTGCATCGAAGTACAGGGAGACTACATTGAAAAATGACACTATCATTTTGAAAATCCATCAACTAGAACTATGTTAGGCCGGAAACTTTTGGATCTTCCCTCGTATGTTTCCAAATGTTTTATGGAAATGGTGTGCAAATAAAAAATGTTTAAAATTAAACAACATCATTGATACGAAATGAGAGGTCTGAAAAATATTGATTAAAAAATAATGAAAAAAGATCAGTTACTAGAATATGTAAATTGCTGCTAATGTTGTAAATGTCCACTAATATAATGTTCTAAAACCCTGGCATATAGAAGAAATATTCTTTACCAAATGTTTGATATATTATCAATATACATCAGAAATTAGAGGTCTGAAAGATATTGATTGTCCTAATTTATGAGATATTCAAAAGATTGTGGCACAATACGATTGAATCAATTTAATCTCAAGATAATTTTCCTAGATATATTTCCATAGAGGGTTGCTATTAACCTTTAGCGTGCTGCCGGCGGACTCGTCCGCCGAGACTAAAATGTCTCTCACAACTGCCGGCGGACCCGTACGCCCGATTTCAAACTTTTAAAAACTTTACTTTTTCGCGCCATTCGTATTGTCCAATTAGATTGCCCGATTTATTCAGTGCCTAACATGACTTCCTGTTGACCTAGAATGGCGATATTTCGAAAAATAATTCTCAATTCAACAATTTAAACAGTGTTTTAGTCGTTTTTAGTGAACGAATCGTACAAAATGGTGGACAAATACGATCACAACGAAAATGTGGAGGAAATGAATTACGATTTCGAGCTCTTTAGGCTCTTGGAAGCCGATAACGGTCATCGAAAATAGAAACTAGAATATTTTCTGAATTGAAAAATTGAACATTCGATCGCTGCAAATTCAGATTTGGATTCTGACCAGACGAAGAGGCGGAGCGGCGGATTCCGGAGGAGTATTCATGGTATATTTATGCCCAGTCGTGTTAATGTACGAAAAAATTCATGAGAACATTTTTTTCATGAGCCAGGCCACTGTATCTTCCCTTTGTGAAAATTTTATCCAGATTCATTCAGTAGTTATTGAGATATTAATTATTATATCATTTTTTGCACTCTTTGAAAAATAAGCCAGTTGCGTGGGATATATTTGCTGAAATAAGGCAGCATGGTAAAGGTTAAGAGACCTCTATGTTTTCATAGTGAGATAAATGTGATTGAACATAGATATTAAGCTTACTGTTGAGTATAAGCTGACTGACATCTTTTATATCTGTATATACAGTAACAACTGCAAAGTGGAACACCCATAGAGGTGGAACACCACCGTTTTCAGAGACCAAAGACCAAATGATTTAATGTTAAATGAACCTCTATAAGTAGAACACCTCCCAAGTGGAACACTTTGTAGAGGCACCAAAGGTGTTCCACTTAGACAGGTCTTACTACTGTATATATTTTATATGGTCTACATTTTTTGACTCGCATATAGTGAGTCTATGAAATCATCCACTGATGATTCATATTTGCATGTCTATGTGTCCAGCCAAATCTCCTTCCACCTGACACAAGATTTTTAGAACCATGTGGATTACATGTATATACTTGCCAAATGTAAGTATACTGTTAATAATGAAATTGACAATGGAGAAAAGGAAAATGATCAATCAATCTATGGAATAATCAAATTGCACATTCAAACTACATCAAATGAAAAGTGCCATGTGAGCCCATCATATGGTGCCATTTTATGAAAGAGGCACATCATATATATTGTTATAACATATTGTTTTCAGTTTTATGTAGAACATGTACCTATTATTTATTGCATATTACATATATACAACTTGATTTCGGAAGCATCTGTGAGTCGATTGGAAACAGAGTAATACCGAAAATTAGGCCATACGATGGGAGTTTTTAATGAAGAGGTGATATGAAATATAAAATGACATGGTTTTAGATATGTTTCGTGATAATGCACCTGTTATGGCCATGGATGGTGGAGCCCGGCCATTACTCCCCAATCCAATTTTACGGAATAAAAGTGCCAAAAAATTACCAGCTATACCAGAGAATTCTGAATCTGCAGTTGAGCCACCACATATCAGAACTGTATTCCCTGATACATGGATATGGTTGTCCAATCAAACTGGGTATGAGAAATGTTCAGTTGTGTGCTACCTTTGTCCACTGGGATTGTGTTAAGGGTTGGTTTAAGTAGGGTGTATTGAGGTGTTTTTTGGAATATTATGAATTTATTTTATATTATTTTCAAGTTCCATTAAACATGATTTGCAAAATTACAACCATTGTGTTTATGTACTTAGGGCATGATATTTATTTGGTTGCCTTGAAGGTTTAAGGGTGTATGTTATATATTTGAGTATGGGTTTGAGGTGTGTCATTGGATGGAGAATGGGGAAGTATGAAGCCATTAAACACCTTCTCCTTTCTTTATTCTACTAACATACATGTACGTGTAGCGTGTAGCAGCTATGTTGCAACAATATTGTAAATTTTGAGTTAGTATTTTCTTGAGTTGATACTTGAATAAACCATTTCAATTATTATAGGTAACTATATGTGAATTTTGAGGGTTTTTGAGAGTTAGGAAGTTTGACCAGATGCTTCAGCATTTCATACAAACAATATAAACATTTATGTGAATGTTGGAATCATTTTCCAGATTGGTCTACTGTTTTTCAGCGTACATTAGGTTTCCACCATTTCCTTTTGGTGGGGGATGTGGGAAAAGAAAACGATGTGCATCATTCTCTGGAGTAGATAGGATATTACCTTTTAAAGAATTCGAAACACCAGTTAAAAAAGTTCAGGCTCCAAAAACTGAACCAACTCGTGTTAGGACAATCTTTCCTGAAACATTGATATGGACAAATATACTAGCAGGAATACTCCAAAATGTTTCTAGTTATTTAACAAGATTAGTTCTAACATGGGCATCTAACTCCATGTTGGGTTCAACAATGGCATAATAGAGCATTTATTGATAGCGAATTTTTAGAATTTTAGAAATTCACCAGTCAAGGTTCATGTATTAATGGAGCTTGGGATTTAGGATTTTGCTTTGTAAAATATTCATTAAATGGACATCTTCCTGTAAAATCTCCCTTTTGCTTACTTTTCATCTCTATTTTAAGTTTAAAGACCACAATAAGATTACCCCAAAGACTGAAAAGGAGCATTTTGGACCCTAAATTATGAAATATCACAAGGTATTGATGATTGTGAAATACAGAAAATGTCATGCTGTCTTCATTGTACAAATGTACATTGTTACATTTACTTTCTGGAGAGATACTCATAAAAATAAGCAGCCTCTAAACATGGAATACACTGATGTTTGGTCATTTATTCTTCTTCCAACTTAAATATGGATGAAAATGGGTGGTAGCAATTTTTTACCTTCTTATCTGTTGTAAAGTCGATTTATTTCATGTCAAATATGGGTTGCCAAATATCAATACAATACCAAAACCTGTACTGTTTTTTCAAAAAGTAAGATTGTTTCAAAATATATTTAATATGCATGTTTATTGATTAAGATCCTATGGCTCACAACTGGAGTACATGCCATAGGTGAAAATATAACAAATACTAATGTATAACATCCAGACTTTGCAGGTATCATTAATGATGTTGGATTGACCCTACAGAACCAAATGCATCTATTTATCGCAACTGGGCTTTTTTAGGCTTTGTATTTGTGATTAATGTCATATATACATTAGGCATAGGGAACTTGGACAAAATGTCCCCAAATCCTATGTTTATTGTACACTCACCACAATGCAACATGTTTGGTATCAAAGCAAAGGATACACCTGTCCTAATATGAACTTGTGGTATATGTTTTATGGTAGGGTAATTAGCCACGATTAATGGCTTCTAATTTGATTTGCTGTTAATACTAGCTCTACGAAAGCCTGTTGGTTGTGCAGACTGCGGGTTCCCAATAGCAGACAGAGAGAACATCAAATTTAAAGGAACCAGTAATGTTGGAATAGGAACAACAACACCAACGAAAGAGCCAGCACGAGTCCGATTATTATTTCCCGAGACATGGATTTGGACTTATACTGCTACAGGGTGCTGAATGGTTCTAGTTTCAATATATTGAATGGTTTCAAGGCAATTATTTCACTTTCCAGTTGAGTAGGAATTAATGTTGATAAATAGAATGCATGGATTTGAATAATGCTTGAAGAGGTACATGTACAACATTAATGCATAGACTGGTTCAAAGTGCAAATTGCTAAGCAATCATTCAAGATTGAATATACTAATTGTCGTTGTTCCTTCCCTGGCCTTTTACTTTTGTGTTGTACCAGTACACAATGCTGCACTCTTTATCACATTTCAATCAGATATAGATTCCAGATGACATAGGAAGTGTTCTATCAACTCACTTCACAGGGGTTTTTGTCATCGGGCTCGTGATATTAGATATTGTTTCTTCGTACGATAAAGCATTGTTTTGGATGTTTCTGGTTGCACTATGAAATGTTTCTTTCTCTCTGTTTTTAATACATCCATGGCCTTTACTACGGTACTTGAGCTTACATATTAGAGACGAAGACAGGATTCATATATCGAAGACATACATACGGAGGCCTCTTTGACAAAATTGTCAAATTGTCCTGTGACAAAATATCCCTATAAATTTGGAGTGGTAGTGACCTTAAAGATGGATAGGTCTGCTCAGATTTTACGATTTTTGTTACTGTAGATACATTTATTTTGATGCTACTTAATTTGACGGATTTGCTCAATTTCAAATATTGGTGGCTATTTAATTTGTGGATTCAGGACTGACGTTTAATTTTTGTAGATGTTTATGTCATTAGGACAGGTGTTTACAAAGATATTTTCTGTATTTCTTTTGGAATAATGTAGAATTGATGACATGTTGACAAGAAAAGGGGCCCCTGGAGTTTAATTTCTGAAGTGCATTGGACAAAAATCCACCAATCCGTCAAATTAAAACAGGAGCCAAATTAAGTGTATCTACAGTATATATACTATGTTTGTAAAAATACCAGCCATGGCTGTTCAATGGGATTTGCTACTCTTTGGCGTTGCTGTTGTCTAGTTGATCGCGAATTTAGAATTTAGAATTTTAGAATTCATCCATCTTTGAAAAATTATTCACCAGTCATCTCAAAAGCTTCTCAAGGTTCATCCCTGTGTTAATGGATCTCTTTGATGTCATCTGTAGATCCAAAATTGGTCGATATTGAAACATTATTGAAACATGTTTCCTTCTGTTCACTGACTCATTGAGAATCAGTCTGTTTGGTTTTGATTGATTTAATAGACAGGATGTGACAGCCAACAGTAGTTAGGGCAGGACAACTAAGTTGTAAAATTGTGCATCGTATTCAGAGGTTAGGTCAGAACTAAACTCTGCACTCAGAGTACTTTTAAAATATTATAAATCTACTATTTTGGGGGGGGGGTTGAAGGATGTAGCTCTGTCATCTTGTTTAAACAGTTTTCAAGATATTTTATTACGTCTGTTTGAGTTGGAGGATGGAGCTAAATTACCTTCTTCTTAGGTGCTGTAGCTTCGAGAGTTTCCTTTGATGTCTCTAATAGGGCATTTGTTCTTTTGCATTTCCCCTGACTATATTCACTCAATGGTGTACATTTTTCAAGTATAAACAGTTTTCAATATATTTCTCCCAAATTGTTTTACCTCCGTTAAAAGAGTTTCCAAATTCAAAGCAATTTGGCCATATTTCAAATACTTTTACACATATGCTGATATTTCTGTCTCTTGATTATTGGTCTTATGTTACATGAAGGATGATACAGCACATTAAAAGTAGTGATAAATTGAATGGAATGGAAACTTTCAGAAGTTTGTGATTAATTCAGCTGAAATACATCATTTCATTTTAAAAATACAATTTGATATAAACGTTTTTGAAAAAATGCCTGTAATGCCTAATGATGTGCTCCTGGACTTAAGCAGATCTCTATAAACCATACCATATATCAAACCGATTGTGATTTTTAATGTCTTTTATTTTCACAGGGGTTCCTCCAGCATTTTGTCCAGATTGTGACTATGATTTCATAGCAGCTGAGGGACCGAAACTTCCAGGTGGTAATGAAGCTGATGGAAATTATAATGAAGATAATGATGCAGCTGATTCTGGTTTAATAAAAAAGCCCAGTAGATTAAGAGTAGACTTCCCTGATACATGGATATGGCTAAATGCAAACATTGGGTAAAAATCAAAAATAGTTAAGAGCTTACTGAATAGCATACGGACATGTCCATGCATGCTTGAATGAGGATTCAAACATGACTTTATTCCTTCAATTGAAATGTTTTAATAATGGAAGCAGCAAACTGGATGAATAAAATGAAATTAGACTTTTTATTTCGAATCTATTAGAAAGTCTATGTCAAGATGAGAAAATGGCATCAAAAGATTGTGTTCCAAAGGAATCCTAAGATTTCATGTCATGTTTGAAGTCCACCCGTGTAGCTCAGCGGTAGCGCAGGTACCTCTTACGCAATAGGTCCCGGATTCGATCCCCGGCTCAGGCAAGACTAAATTTGCTTGTTGGCGTGAAGTACTTCAGGGTGTTTGACTGAGTGGTCCGCAACTCGTACAAAAGGCTGTGGTGTGTACTTCTATGTCTATGTATAAGTGCACATAAAAGAACACAGGGCTCCTTCAAGGAGGGGTTTCTGGGTCTATCTTCCATGTTAATTACATAAATTACAACCGTATATATACGGGACATACCCAAGAGGTATTGCTCACCTTCATTGTTGGTAAACAAAATACAATACAAAATACGAACCTCCGAATGACCTCAACTTTCAAGGTTTTTCTTTTGTACATCTAGGTTGCATGTCATGGGTGGCTGATTCTACTTTTTTGTTGGTCCTATGATATTCATTAATCCACTTTTAAAAGAAGCTTGAAAGTACTTGCAATAAGGATCATCTGAGCTCGATTGAATGAATATTTTTTTCATATCAACTATAACAAAATTCATTAATTTCACATCATAAAGTTATGATTCTTAAATCAAATGATAACACACCACTGGGGCTTGCTCTGTGCTACCTATACTACATAAATGTGTGTCAGTGATTAGAAGGTCATCATGATTGCAGGCAGGAAGATTTCTGTATGCATTCCAAATCATTTTTATGTCACCACCAAAAAGTGGTGACATATTGTTATGATCTCCGTTTTTTGATGGTGGTTGGTGATTGCCATCTGTAACAAATTCTTACAACTTCCAATAACTTATACAATACTGTTTAGACTGACTTCAATTTTTTCAAAATCATCTACAAGTTTTCAGAAGTTCAAATCTGATTTTACATTTAAAATTTGACCTTCAATGACCTTTTCAAGGTCGAAAAAAGGTTAAAAGGTAATTTTTCAACGTGCTTCAAATTGACCAATTTTTTTCAAAATCATCTACACGTTCTCAGAAATTCTAATCTGACTTATGATTGAACCATTGGGCTTTCAACTAGAGTTGAAAGCCCATCATTGAACTTATAATATTGGGAGCAACTAGGTTGTAACATTTTGTCAGGTTAATGCCATGTATGAGATTTGCAATCCGCTTGTGAAACAATTTTAAAATTTACTATACATGTCTATTCAAAAGGGTTAAAATGGTGAAGTTCATACTGTGACCAAATCTCATTATTGAATTAAGCTGAGCAATCTAGATGGGGGAGGGGGTCACATTTCAAGATGAGCATCAAATGTATTTATCTGCACTGGTGATATCAATAAGTCTAAGATCAGCTACAGAAAATGTGTTTTAGAGTTTGATAGCTATTATTATAGTGTTAAATGACAGTCAGTGTGTGCTGTGGAATATACAGGGTGTCCATAACATCTCTTTATACAACTACAATGCAATGTCTGTGTGTAGTGTAAGTAGGCTTTATGAACACCCTGTATGTTATGCTTATAACAATAGGATGTTCATGTTTTAATCGGCGACAAGTTGCTCAGTAGCAACCTGTCCTGAGAAACAGTGTAAGTAAAAACATAAATAATACAATGAAGAGAAAGATAAGAAATAAGATGTGGGTCTCAAATTAGGATTTGTATTGATATTTTCAGCCCAGTATATTTCATTAGGAGAGTTGATTTAGGCTGTGGATTTCAGTAGTTGATTCAGAGAGACTGTGAGTGCCTAATGAAGATATAACAATAATGAAATTTCGAATCAGAATTGTGTTATTAGATTGAACTACCACTAAAATATTGTGTCCTTTATTATTTTGTTATAATGCATTTACTGTTGTATTTGTGATTTTTGTTTGTAGTCAACAAATTACCATGGCCCCCAACTTTGCCCCCAAATTTTGATTTTGCTGGAGGAGCTCCACGACCTGGAGTAGTTGCTAGGCCTTTTGAGAAAATTCCAAGTAGCCCAAAAGACGATTCACAGAAACTTAAAGATCCAGATTCAATGAGGACAATATTTCCAGAGACTTGGATATGGAGCTATGCTTCCATTGGGTACCTTTTTGGCACTTATATGGAATATAATATTTCACAATATTTCAGGGTAAAGGGGCTGTAATGATTAATGCATCGATAAATTTGCGATTTTAATGCTTGCTTACCTCATTTATAATGCCCAAGGGAATTGAACTGAAAGCTTATTTAGTTTAACACCCATGAGAACTAAAAAGGGTGTGTCTCATGAAAGTCTACTGTATCATAACAATTCATAAGATTTAGCAAACTTTACTTGCATAATTGAAGAAAAATATTTTTTGCAACGGGTACTGATGGCAAAATTTAAATATGTTGGGAATTTTTACATGAATATGAATGCTGGTATCATTTTTCTCAAGCACGAGAACAAGATGATTAAAGAATACTGAAAATATTTAATCATTTTCAATTCCAAAATATGAATGCAAATGGTAGTTCATACATGTAGATATCAATAGGAGAGCATATTTATATGTTAGGATATAACAAATTGTTCTTTGAAAATCACTAAAATCCACATTCATATTGTGATCAATCTTGAAGGTTTGTTTTCCTGTGTTATACAGCTTTAATATTGGTGTGAAATGTGCAGTTTGGGAAATATGCTATTATTATAACAACATGATGTCAACACAATGACCAGTGTTCTGATTGGCCCTCTGCCGCCAACTTATTATGCATTAGCGATAGAAGGTTACATGTAGATTTAAAAATAGGAAGAGGGATTAGACAGGAATGGAAATAAGGATTTATTCAGATTGGAAGAGTAGAAATAATTTTTTTAAATGTTAGGCTGTGGATTTTAAAAGTTGACTTATAGCTTGTATTCGCGAATGCAACTAACAGCTGTCAGCTACCAGATGAACATAATATTTTATTGCCAACTCATTTGAATATGAATGGAATGGTGGCAGGTATTATTTATATTTAAATGAGTCATAAAATAATAGGTTAATCCAGTAGCCATTAGCCGCTATATGCATTCTCGAATACTAAGCTTAGAGACTTGAGTGGGTAATGAAAACATAAAGATGAATTTTATAATACAATTATGAATTTGAATCAGAAACTATAAGTTATTTGATTGATTACCATAAGATTGTCAGGTACCTTATATTTTGTTACTTTGCTTTTATTATTTTATTGATGATTTCTATTTCTTTAGATGGCTCACTTTTTCCTATAGCTGGAGTGGGAGGTGGAGGTGGTCCAATGCCAGCACCACCACCAGGAGCAGTTGCAGGACAGCCTGGGGCCATCGGGAGTATACCAAGTGGCCCTTCAGCAAATGAAAATTTAGAGGAACTAAAAGAGCCAGTTTCAACAAGGATCTTATTTCCAGAAACCTGGATATGGAGCTCTGCCTCCACTGGGTACCTTGATGGCACATATTTGTTATTTTCTTTAGTTGCAATGACATTTAATATATTTCAGGGTATTAGCGGTTGACTCCTTAACATCCTAACATCTTTTGTTTCCTTTTTTTAAAGCACATACCAATTCTTTATTTCTAAGCTTTTTAAATTGTGTACCATTTACTTATAATATTGCACTCATACACCTTCATACTACTGTATGCAACTGTGATAGTCTTCTATATAGATGCATTGTTTCTATAGGTTACTACATGTATGCAGAGTACGACATGGAAGATGGGGGCTTTTATTATCCAGTCCAAACAACTGATTATGATAATGTCCAATCTCCAGCAAGAACAAGAAGTCTTTTCCCAGATACATGGCTCTGGGTTAATGCTTTAACCAGGTACCACTCAAGGTGCATGAATTCCTACACCCAAAACTAACACAATATGAGTGTAACATGTTTGCACTAGAATGCACTACAGAATGTCCCCAATAAGGTACTCTCATGCAATGGAGTCACTAATCTTTAGATTTAAATTACCGATGCGCCATTTGAATCATAGATGTGTCCTTGACAATAAGTTAGTTGTGGAAAGAATCCCCCACACCCTATATTAATACTAGTATTAGGTGTACTCTGTTTGCATTGGGATTTTGCATTTCAGAATCCTCCTTGAGAAGACACATCCTATGGCATATACTGGATTCCGTACTATCCTGATTTACCCAATTTGCATGTTATTGAAATGTTGGATCTTGGAATTTTCCTTAACATGGTTACCACTTATAGAAGGAAATCCCCTACTCCACATGTAAAATATTTACTTGAAATGAACATGCATCATGCAGTTTGTCTAATAAGATACAAGGATTATTGTATCGGATATATAGCAGTTATTTTTGTTTATAAAAAAGTAATATAGTCATAACCATAGTACAGTTTCAATATTCAGCTGCATTTAGTTAAGTTCCTTTATTAAATGAAATCACAAACAGCTGATTAAAGTCCAATTGCTTCCACACAGTTTCTACACATCCATCTGAAATGAAGCCATCTCATTTACTCATTGAAAATCTGAAATTATAATTCTTGTATATCCACATTTACAGATTTGCTTACAAGGTGGTCAGACAACACATGTACTTTAAATTTCAGTTTTGCTTGCATACGTTGGAGTTCAGAATATAAAATTGAAATATGCTGCACAGATACAATGTTTCATATTGGTTCAATGTGATAGACATGATTTATAAAAGCCATTTGTTATTCAGGCCTTGCCAAAGTATTTGTAAACTTTTATTAACACCATACAATTAATATACTAATTATTATTACTGCAGGATATTATGAAATGTTCCAAAGTGATATAGTACCAATGAGAGGGATGGTAGCTGCAGACAGTAGTTTTAATAATGCAGAGGTCAAAGAAGTAGTTGCACCCAAACACAATAAAAAAATCAAATCTGAATTGGCTGAAGTAAAAAGAGCAAGAACTGTTTTCCCAGAAACTTGGATATGGACTAATGTTTTTGTGAGGTATTGACCCACTCCCATTCTAGATAAGGTACCCTGCTTGACCCAGTGATATACAAAAATGTCTACTTGAACCACCATGAGTATTCTAAAGAAAAGACAAACTTTGTATTTCATACAACATGTGTTGATATGATGCGACTTCATCAATTTTTTTATTTAAGTTTAGCTATGTGCTTAATATTGTACCTGTTTAATAGAATGATTGTATAGGCATAATAATTGTATAGGCATTTCATTCAGATTGATTTATCACTTGTAAAAGATTGTTTTCTGTATAACTCATTGGACTTGTGCATGGTGTTTCATTTTCCTTGCTGTGTTCTGTTTTAAATGCTTTTCGGTTTCCCCTTTTTGCATATGCGCTCACAAAATCATACAAACAAGTTAATAAGAAATGGATGATGCATTTAATAATAAAATGTTTGCATGAGTGGAACTGTCAGTAATCAACTAGTCAAGCCACATTCAGAAGACTATTTCTTATAATTTCCAAATTTTTAGTTAAAATTTGTCGAGGGTGATACTTTATTGGAGTATAGAATTGATGTTCTTGCTCTGATGCCGAAGATTCTCAGTGTCAGTGTTCCAGCAGATTATGTGCCTTGTACGAGGGGTGATTCAAAAGTAATGGACAAAATTTGGTGAGAGCAAGCATGCCTATAAAATTTTGTCCATTACTCTTGAATCACCCCCCCCCCGTATGCTGTCCCCATAAACAGAATATTTACATTTATTATCAATACTTCCTAATAATAAACTGATGATGTTTTGTTGCAGCTCATATAATTCTATTTATGCCAAATTTTGCAATGTTTGATAGACCAGAGCTTCCATCAATGATTGCTGGGAAAAAGAAGTAGATGTACTTAATGTCAATAAAAAATCAAATCTTAATCGGTAGTGAAAATAAGTAGTAAAAAGAACAAGAACCCTTTTCCAAGAAACTTGGATATGGACTGATGTTTTAATGAGGTATTGACCCACTCCCATTTTAGATAATGGCCCTGCTTGAAGGTATATCACACATTATTCGTAGGATATTTGCAAATTCATCAATAGTGGCAACTGGTCATAGACTGTTATACTGAATTTCTGGTCAACTCAACCCCAAGTCAAGTCGACCCTTAGTCAACTCGACCCCAAGTCAAGTCAACCCTTAGTCAAGTCGACCCCAAGTCATCTCAATCCTTAGTCAACTCGACCCCAAGTCATCTCAACCCTTGGTCAACTCAACCCTTAGTTAACTCGACTCCAATTCCCTAATTCTTTTAAAATTCATTAATATCATAATATAAGATACATCTAATTGTTTTTATAGATATTTAGATATGGTGGGGTCGAGTTGACTAAGGGTTGAGTTGACCAAGGGTTAAGAGGACTTGGGGTCAAGTTGACTAAGGGTTGAGTTGACTCAGGTTGAGTTGACGGTGCCGAGTTGACTTGGGGTTGAGTTGACCAGTTCCCATTTTGAGGATTATGGATTATTATACATATGTTTTATTGAATTCTCCAAAGATGAGGGTTATGTACTGTGAGGTTTAAAATTCTAGAGCCGATTAACATTTGAGTGGCCATCTTGTTTCGGGCTGGCAACTTTTGGTGTGATTTTGTTATCTACTTCATGAAACTTGTCATATCTTATTTCCAGTGCTGCATTTTGCATAATGACTTTTTGTGAGTTTCCAAACAACAAATACTGTTTCAGGAGATTTATAACTGTATCAGAGAGGGACATACCTCACTATTATGTAGTGTGTAGTGTGATTCCAATATGTTTTTATCTTAAATCAGGTAGCTTAAATCACACTTGTGCAAAAGTGTATATGATTGCCCAAATGAAATCATGAAATACTTCACGGGGTGTCAATTATAGAAGGATATTATTCACCCTCTAGTCAGAATATACATTTGGGAAGTTGTTAAGGCATAACTCTCAAGTTCTTTATATATACATGTATATTTTATTCTTGCCAATTTTTGCTTCTAGCTTTGCATGCTTTCAATTATTGCAGCAATATTTGAAATGGATGGTCCTGTATGGGCTGCTCTACCTGATGGAGCAGTTGCAAAAGCAGAAGCAGTTGATACAGTTGATGAGAGTTTTACTGCAGCCCTTGCAACTCCAACAAGGACACGAAGCCTTTTTCCTGATACATGGCTTTGGGATAATACAGTTGTGAAGTATGGATATATGCTAGGCATTTGCCTTTAATTCTTGAATTTCTCTCCAGATTTTATCTTTTAGTTACTGAACCAATTAACAATTTTATCCACATTTCTGCTGAGGAAACAAAACAATTTATGGGACAACATGATGTAGAACGTATCCAACAAGGGTTCCATTTATTTTACTGTACAGTTGTGAAGTATGGATATATGTTGGGTGTTTGACTTCAATCCTTAAATTCCTCTCCGTTTTTATTTTTGTCTATTATGTCACTGAACCATTAAACCATGTTAGACACAAATCCGCAGGAATCAAACAATCTAATGGACTCCATTTATACTATGTAGAGGTTACCTAAAAGGATTGTTTAATTCCATTTATTTCACTGTAACATAATTAATATCATGAATTTCTTGTAGTATGTTGGTTTTGCCATATCCACTCTTTGTAATCTGTATAAAGAAATTATATATGATGCATTTTAACACAACACGCAATAATTTAACATAAGTAACATAACTGCAATTTATTTTATCTATTAATATATCACAAATTATGGATCATCTTGGCAATAAACATGTAACCTTGACCTAGACTTAATTTTAGACCTTGCACATTCTTGAAGTCCTGAAAAAACCTTTTATCCATAAGTTATGATTTTACTTTGAGGATATGATAGCTGTCTAAACCTTTCTGTTAAAAGCATATGTATTGAATCAAATGAAAATCTTAAAGGACTATTAGTATAGTATTTCATTTTCTTCCTGTGTTTTAGTTTCTTTAGTTCTTCTACCTGTCCTACCTTTATACATGTATTTCTTGTCAAAATATTTCTTGTAGGAGTTGCAGTGGTACTCTCATCAACTAACTCAACTGCTTCTCCTTTTGGAATTGTTCAGATCATTGGTCTTCAATAGTAGCATGGACATGCTTGAATAATTCTACATGGATCAACAATATTTTTTAATGTGGTGACCATCCTGTTTTTTGGCAAGCAACTTGGTGGTGTGATTTTGTTACACCATGTACCTTGTTACCTCAGAATTCCAGTGAAATTATTTTTTAATGTGTGTGAGCTACAGAACAACAAGTACTTTGCTTCAGGGGGTTCTAACTCTATATCACAGAGCTAAGTACCTCATAATTATGGATGTTCTTGACAGGATATCACAGAGGGAAATACCTCACAATATAACAGAATATCACAGAGGGAAAAACCTCACAATTATTGATGTACGTAACAGGACATCACGAAGGGACATACCTCACAATTATGGAGGTCCGGAACAGGATATCACAGAGGGAAATACCTTAAAAGAATTCAACTACAAGAAATCGCTATATCTTTGAAAATACTAGACTGATTGTGTTCATTTTTTCAGGAAAGAAAGACGAGACCCTGTATGTATAGCTGCTGTAGTGAGTTAGTTGAAATGCAATAGACATTTGCAATAGAAAATACTTCAAAAAGCAGTCAGGGGTGACTGCAACTGCAATAAAACCAAATAACTTCCTAACCATAGTGTTTTGACACTTCAAATTTAGCACAAATTGTCTTCATTTAATGTGTAATAAATCTGTAGAGTTTCATCAAAATCACTCCAGGGGCTTTACAGGAATGGTAGAAATGGCTTCAAAACAAAGTCATACATCCTGGTTCAGGCGGACTTTTGAAGGCATTTGGACCATGACCATGAAAGTCCCTGGAGTGATTTTAATGATTGAAACTCTACAGATTTACCACACATTGAATGAAAATAATTTATACTAAATTTGAAGTGCAAAAACACTATGGTTAGGAAGTTTATTGCGGTTTCACCCCTGACTGCATTTTGTCTTTTGAGCAGGTGTCCAAGGCATTGTTTCTTTAACTAACTAACTACAGGAGCTGTACGTTCAGGGTCTCTTATTTCTTTCCTGAAAAAATGAGTACAATTGGTTTATTATTTTCCAAAATATAGCGATTTCTTTCGGTTGCGTTTATTCAACACCCACAGTAGAGTATTATTTACCGAGCATTCAGCATATACATTGGCAAATTGTTTTGACATAGCTCTCAATGGGTTTGCCTTTCTACTGCTCAACATCCTATTTGGGATGTCTATTCTGATGGACGTTGGAGGCAACTGAGGAAACCAACAGAGGGTCCACAGCTAATGTGTATGGCGCAACAGCATGTAGTCCACATGAGCGTGTTTATCATAATAATGCTTCAATGCTTTACATACTATTATTACAGCAATAGCTATAGATGAAGATCGCTTCATGGAGGAGGGTCCTGTCATGGCTTTTCCTGGTGGAGCAATTCCGAAAGGAGAAGCAGTAGATACAGATGATGAGAGTTCTACAGCAGTCCTTGCAACTCCACCAAGAACACGAACCCTTTTTCCTGATACATGGCTTTGGGATAATACAGTTGTGAAGTATGGATATATGCTAGGCATTTGTCTATAATCCTTGAATTTCTCTCCAGATTTTTCTTGGGTCTCTTAGTCATTGAACCAATTTTCAATACATTTCTGCTGTGGAATCCAAACAATTTGTGGTACCTCATTATGTAGAAGGTGTCCAACAAGGGTTATTTGATTCCTTATCATAAATAACATAACAGCTTATATGTTGTATGTTGATTTAGTGTCATTCCTCTTCGCTTTGGTTCAAAATGTGCAATTGGTATATATGATGGTAAAATTTTGTAATTCTGAGTCAATGATTGTACAATCTCAGTCAATCATCGAATCAAATGAATGTCTTGAAACGTCTGTAGATTTTTTAACTTTTTATAATGATGTCTCACTCTTACGTGCTTTTGGATTATGACATCGATTTCTGAATGTTAATGGATTGGTGGAGACATTGTTTCTTTGTACATTGGATCACATATAAATGTATATCCTTTTCACTGGTTCTTCCCTTAAATATTTCATTTTTTGTATTTAACTTGCTGTGTTTTAGTTCCTTTAGTTCTGCCTGTCTCACCTATATATATTTTCAAAACCTGCACATGGAAAAATATAGATAATTCTTAGATACAAGTATTTTTACCTTGGTTTCTCTAGTTCTTTCTGTTCTATTTCCTGTCATCTCAAAATCTGCACATGAGAGTTCATAGATAACCCTACACATAATATCTTTTGGCATAAGAGCTTTAGGTACTATTAGAACTAAAGCTTGTGAAGTAGTTTTCGTACAATTTATTCAACCCCAGTGTCATGAAAAATATGTTTGGGCTTGGGGGCTATCTTGCAATTGTGAAAATTTTCAAATAAACAATACAGGATACTAGTTTCTATTGTCTCCTAAAGCCTTTTAGCCAGGATCTGCCTAGGAAGATTGTAGACATGTAGAATGTGTTGACTTAAATGACACTTAGGTAGATAAATAATTGCACTACATATAGTTACTCCAATTTGTATGTTTTGGTTAGTTTGAAATCACAGTAAACAATGACCACTTTTAGGACAAACATAACTTCTGTACTAGAACTTGCTTTTCTATATTTCAGATGATTATTTCATTTATTATGTGCAATATTGTGTCTTCAGTAATGGCAACATGGTTCAATAATTTTATATGAATATGTTAATTGGGTAATACCTGACTTCTGTATATTGTATCATACCACTTGTTTAGTAAAGAGGTGAGGAAATCCTAATATTGCTGTGTGGAAAGTTTACTTTTTATTTAAATATATATTAATTGTCTGTCATCTCATTCAATTATTTATATACTTAAAATCTTCTGTCTTATCTGTATTCCCTGAGCTGTTTTACTTTCGCCTAATCGTATTTTCTTTGTTTCATGCGTTTGATTTTTTCAGGATGTTTTTCTCTGATTATATTGTAAACTATTTAATTTTGTAAAATTTTGCAATGCTTGTATTTGCACATTCCTTATACTGTCATGCTTATATTAGAATGCATCTATGGTGAGGGGATTAACCTTTAAAATGCATGTCTTACAAAATATGTAAATAGTTTGAATATTATATAGATTAATTAGTAGATATTAATATGGAAATTCAGTTTTCTTAAAATCAATCACCTTTAAGTGTTTTATTATCAAATTTAGATTAATTTGTTTATCAATTGTTAAATATGAATTGCTTTTTGTAATTAAACCAATAGCCTATATTATTTATTTTTTCGCATCATATAAGAATGTAATATACAATATATGAGATATCATATAAGTATAAGAACATTTTATGATTAGATTATTATTCGATTATCTAGTGCTAATGGTAGAGCAAGCGTTTCTGCTGTCATCCCTGATACAATCACTTCATGGGTTGCAAGTGCCTTTGCCCTTCATCCAACTGCCGGACTGGGAGTTGCCCCAACAACTGCAAAAGTATGTATACTATGGTCCATAATGCTGTCATATATTCGTTGGTTTATGATTTTATTAGTTTATTCATTGAAAATGTCCAACTATTTCTGAAGAGTAAGTGAGGAGCAAATGAAAACCAAAGAAGTAGTTTATACCATGATTAAAAAAGGGCTAAATCCATGTTTGGAAGAGGGAAAGAGGGAATAACACATTGAGAATGCAAGTGAAGAACCCTTATTCATTTTTTGAAAGTCCATATGATATGAAGAATGAAACTAATTGTAAAGATATGTCATGTAGTTTATTTTATAATGATCATGAAAAAGTGTATTAACATTCATGTACACCGATATTCAATTTGTCATATATGTTCTGTGAAACCTACATGTGGCAATATACCATAAGCAGATGGAGTGAAATACCCAGCACCAATATCAGTATCATAAGTATATCTACCAAAGACATTTTTAAGATAAATCTTAATGTTAAATATTTCCTCCTACTAAGGTGGGACATTTGAAAATAGGGCTGGGCGTGTTATCCCTTCATCAGGGGTTACCAGCTTGGGTGGTTAGCTTACTAGCTATGATATTTCCAGAAAATAAGCCATTGTATTTACCATAACATATTGATAATTGAGAATCAGAAATACGGATACTGCCCTTTTAATCTCTTCACTTTGATGTTGATTTATTTTCCAGTTGACTGTTTTTCAACCGTTCTTCATATCCCTGACCCTGCCATACAGTGTAGTCAGAGGCGAGGAGTTTGGACTCATTATAACGGTCTTTAACTATATGGATGATGACATGGAGGTTTGTATTTGTATATAGTGTCCATATTGGATACTAAGCTAGCATTCGCAAATTGAAATATTGACCAAAGACTGCTAGTTTAATTGATATGTTATACCAATGATCAACCATCAACTGATAATCAATACCAGAATAAAATGAAATAAGTAAAAAATGGTTAGACATGGCTTTTTGATTTGGTCTTAAGTCTCAAGATATCAAATGTTTTCATCTTTATAGATATCTTAATTTATCTTTAAAAAATTTCTACTCATGTTTTTTGCTTTTTCAAGGTTACTCTGACATTGAAGAAATCTTTAGATTTCAAGGTCAAACATGGCAACGATATTGATTCCATGGAGCCAGTCAACAAGGAGGTCGTTGAAAAGATAATGGTAAGTATTTTTATCTTTCCACCTTTTCAAACAATTTTAATTCAAATTTTTGGGGTACTTACCATAATATTTTCTTTCATATCTATAGGTTTTTACTATACATGTCAAATGTCAAATAATATAATTCTGAATTATTTCAGATACCAGCTAATAGTGGTAAATCTCAGACAATATGGATCGTCACTGAAGAACTTGGCAATGTGAAGATTGAGGTTATGGCTCAATCAACTGCTGCTGCAGATGCTGTTGAGAGAACACTTTTGGTTGAGGTAGGTCATAAGTAATCAGATCTTGAACATAACAACCTCTCCAAAGATAATGGAATTTGAATGGTGGGGGAAGGGGGGTATTTGACATTTTTTCTTTTCACATTGGATTATGGTTTGGGATTTGTGGGGTTTGTTTTCTTTGTCTTATTTGTAACAATTTTTGTCCTTCCCTTTGGCACCTGTGTATACATATATATCTGAATTCATTTTTTCTCATTGGCCTCACATACAGATCTGTTATTTTGCCCTGATGTACATGTATAATGTTATGTGTATTTTCAGCCTGAGGGTGTTACCAAATATATCAATAAAATGGTTTTCCACGATCTATCAGCTGGTGCTTATTCTGAGACATATGATCTGTCTGTCCCAACAACTGCAATTAATGGATCAAAAAGAGGAGAGATATGTGTTGTTGGTCCGTATCATTTGTTTTTATCTTCAGACATTCATGTATTTTAGTACAATTCTTAGCACGAAATGTGCATTGTATATCCAGTATTCAAATTGAGTTTTTATTTTGCTGCAAATTGGGTTGTTATTGTTAGTGAATGAGTAAATAGCATATTTTAGCTCTAAGTTTATATTTATAGGAGATATAATGGGCCCTGCTTTGGATGCTGACAAGCTGAGTAAAATGCTTCGAGTTCCCACAGGTTGTGGAGAACAAAATATGTTAGGCTTCGTTCCCAATGTATTTGTCTTAAAGTACCTTGAAGCTGTTGATCGTGATACAAGTGCGATTAGAACAAAGGCGACAGCAAATATGGAAATTGGTATATGTTTACATATGTTTTTTCATATGTTTTATTTTATTTTTGGTCCTTTATGTTGTCACAGGTACAAGCCAAACTCTCAGATAGAAGCATTTTCTTCATTATTTTGCATGATATATTAAGATGCAAGTAATCTTGATTTACTTCATTAAATATTCAAAATTTAGTGAAAGGGACATCATATTTGAAGTCTACAAATAAAAAATGGAATCTAGAAATGTGGTTTAAAAAAGTATTTACCAACTTTAAAATGTTTTACAATATTTTTTTTTTTGAAACTCTGATGGGTTTTACTGCAAATAACTTTTAATTACAACTATAGCAAGTATTATGTTTCTTTTTTGTTTTTAAACTCTAGTGTTTAAGTAAAAAACACATCATTTCACAAATCATGGTATTGCTGGCGATTTCAATAGATCACAGCTTGCAGTCTTGTTGAATAATTTGTTTTCAAATATCAGTGGCTTCTCATTGTTTATCAGTACTGCATCAATCATACCCTTTTTATGTAGGATACCAACGAGAGTTGAATTATCAGAAGAAGAAAAATGATGTTGGCTCATTCTCAGCATTTGGAGATCATGACCCAGAAGGCAGTATGTGGTAAGAACATCTGCGTTCAAGTTAAAATTTAAAAGAATCTTGTTTTAGAATATTAAACCTGTTTATTTAATTATTCAATTATTTTTTTTATTATTTAATTATTAATTAAACATGGTTTTGCTACATATAAGTACAATCTCTAATTTTTCTTCACAATTTGATAGAAATTTTAATATGTTAAATTTTAAATTATTCCTGCTGTGATTTAAGGTATGTTCTACCTTCTTGGATTCTAATTTTGAAAAATATTAATTTGAAATCCATTTTTTATTCAAACTTTTATGGAATGGGATCATGATGGAAACTGACTGTCCCAAACTTTAATAATTGAAGGAAGGATACAGAAATACTATTCTTCTTCTTAGACTCACTATATATTCCCATACATTAAGTTCTTAACCGCAGTAGTGTGACACTTTATCATATGGCAAAGAAAATATTTTTTTCAAAAAAAATGTTCCCGCCATATTATTATAATCATTGTATATTCCATTTAGGCTGACCGCATTTGTCATAAGATCATTTGCCCAGGCTCGTCCATACATAAGTGACACAATAGACAATAATAAAATCAAAGATGCAATGGTGTGGATCATTAATGAGCAGAAATCTGATGGTATGTTTCCAGAGAACGGAAAAGTTTGTCACAAAGATATGCAGGTAAAAATTCAAATATTTTTTGCAAGACTTACTTAATTTTAGGTGTAAAACACTATATGATAGACCCTCAATCCTCATCATCAAATTCTCACACCTTTTATGTAATAACAGTTACCACATGTTTGAATAATAAGGGAGGCCAATTAAGTGAGGCCTTCCTAGTAAGTAATGTCTTGTAAAATTATACAAATAAACAAAATTTTAATCTCAAAAGATCTTAACAGATTAAATACATTGTTACTTGGCTTGTTCCAGGGAGGATCAGCTACAAAGGCCACGATGACATCATATGTCCTGTTGGCACTTCTTGAAAACAAAGACATGGATGGGGTAATCATTTTATTTTATCAATGTATTCATTTAAGAATTATCACTTGATACTTATGCTAGAGATAACTATTGTCATATTCCTGAAATGTTCACATGAAATGTTGCCAATAATGTTTGCGCAACTTCTTGAAAACATTTTGTAAAAAAAATTACTATGATAATAAAAACAACAACAACAACAACATATATCTGACCATATCCTCTCTCACTTTCCTGTACAGAAATATAGGTGTTTTGGTCCATTTGTGTATGTTGATTTGTAGTTCTGAATTAAATGTATTTAAAAAACCATATTCATACTTTGACAACCTCTTGAGAATGCTTTTGATGGATATTAACCAAATTAATTAAATAAAATTAGATAAAAAGGGTCAAACAACATTAATTTCAATAATAAGGATGGTGAAATATATTCAAACTTTTCAAAAAGATAAAAATAGAGACACCATACAAAATTTATTTGATAAGAGGTATAAACATGCATGCACATATATTGGATGTTGAGAGCGAGCATTCTAAGACTGACAAGAATTATTTTATTGGTAACATTTATCAATAAGAATATTTGTTTGATTTTAGGCTCCAGATAATACTGCCTCTGCTATTACCAAGGCAGTTGGATTTGTTGAAGGCCAAATTGATGGAACAGATGACCCGTATGCATTAGCTATCATGGCATATGCTCTCACTGTGGCTGAGTCATCAAGAGCTCAGGATACGATAAACAAGCTGATGAGCAAGAAGATATCGTCAGGTTGGTTAACACAGGGTAACTAATTTGGGTCGAATAAACTGTAATCGTCCAGAATGTTGATGCTCAGATTTCATTAACAATGGTATGAACTAACATTAGACAGATTTCTTAACTCACTTACAGCATGTTAATATAACTTATGATTTTTGTGGACCTTGTCGTCATCATCATGAAATCTCTCTAATGTGTCAAATTTACACCAATCCTATAGAAATTACAATTTTATAGTATATTTTATAGTTTTTCAAGTATAAGAGACAAAAAATATCAAATGAGAAGTTGTGGTCGGATCTTTTGTATCAGCAATACACCAGTCATTGATGGATATTGATATGTGAATTATGCATGTACTCATGGGCTTTTAACTAGATGTACTATATTGAAAATATACCAGCAAATATCACAAATAAAGTTATAAAGTTATGTCCCTTACATGGTATGCATATATTCATATTGAAGGTGATCAAACATATTGGGAACCAGAAGGATATGTAGAACCCCCAGTCTGTGATCCTAGCATGCGTTGGTGCCCATACAATCACCAAGCTGGGGCGACTTTAATCGAGACTGCTGCTTATGCCTTACTGACATTTGTTGCTAAAGATGACATGAATAATGCTCTGCCTGTGTTGAGATGGCTGACCAAACAGAGGAATTCCCTTGGAGGATTTTCATCTACCCAGGTTGTTATTAATTCGTATATGATCACATTTAGATATTAAGTTATTCAAGTGAAATGCAGAAAATACTGTATATCCAATGGCTCAATTTCCATTTTTTTTATTTACTTTATCAGAAATCATTGAAGAACATTATTGGTCATCGACTTTGTTTTTTAAGATTATATTGCTCTTTGAAAAAAATATACTTTATAATCTTTTGTATGTTTTCATCTACTATCTCATCTATTATGTCCCAAAATGTTACAAAAATATCAAAACATGAATAAAAAAGCCAGTATTGGATATCATCATGGGCTTTCAATTGAATGCAAAAAAATATTAGATAAATATATTATTTTATTTATAAAAAAAATTATTTAAAAAAATATTTTGATAAATAATAAATGCAATAAAGCACTACCAACATAAAAAATATATAAGATCATAATTTAAGCTTTAATTTTAATCTTTTTTAGGACACCGTTATGGGCTTGTGGGCACTGTCAGAATTTGGAATCATGGCAACATCTGGTGACATCAATGTTGCTGTGTCTGTCACAGCAGATACCTTCACTCATAGTTTCGATACCATCACCAATACTAATGCTGTGATTCTACAGTGTGTTGTGGTATGTATAGCGAACATACTGTATACAATGTATAAAATAAGGTATGATTTGCCGAGAGTGATGTGTGTTATGTGAACAAAGGTGTTAGTGTACATATTTCTCATTTCCAATCAAAATGTTTTGTATTGTAATAAGCCTATACACTGTACACTTATATTCAGAATCCCTATTTTATGGCTTGTGCAAAGAAACAGTGTCTAATACCACCTCCCCCACCATTCAAGTACCAATAGCACAATCCAAAACCATAACACTAATGGACATTTCATTCATCGTTAAGTACACATTTTTCTGTGTTACACTCTCAATGATCTTACTTTTTCTAGATTCCCCAAGAGAATGATGAGGTTGCAGTTAGCATGACAGGACAGGGTGCAGGACTTGTTCAGGTTAGTAGAATTAAAATGGAAAGATAATCATGATTTATGGCATTGAATTTAAAATTGGGATCTGTAAATGTTTCTCTCAGCAATGGCAGCTTTACCATATGCCTTCTTTATCTGTCTTTACACAGAACTTAATGTTTGTTCTTTGTTCTATTTTACTCTGACTTGGCGCCATCTTGAATTGGGTGGGTTAGTGTCCTTGGTCATGTTAGTATTTGTCATGGATGATGGAAGCAATTCAAAGAAATTGAAAGCTTTTTATGAATGCCTATTGTGACATCACAACTATTACATATTTGTTACCATGGCAACAAATATAAAAATCATAGAAAACAAACAATGAACATTTTCAAATGTTACTGACTTTTTAAATTAGAGAAATTCACAAAAACGTTATGGTTTCTCTTCAATTTGCCCCGGGTTACGCGATATCGGGTTACTATAGCAACCATAATTTCAACCAATGAAATGATTGAATTCCAATCTTTGAGATGGTAACTCAGAAATGTTGTGGGTACATGTATACCAAATTTTATGAAGATCTGATGAATACTTTTGAAATTACAACATCTTTGACGTTACTTCTGGATCACCCTGTATATCATCATTGTAAGACAAAAATGTTGACAATATATTGCCAGGTATGTAATACTTAACGACCGACAATTCTGGCAATGAAAGCCACCTGTTTTATAGTGTCTATAACTGTTAATGTTAATGCCAATGGGCATTATGAATTGCATGAAGGAGGAAAGTGTTTTTGAGATTCAGCACAATTTTAATTAAATCTCGATCATTATTATTAATTTAACTTGAGATTCTCTGATTTGAAAAAGTTGTAATCTATCTCTTTTGGTTATCAGTGATATTTTTAAATTTATTAAAGGTCTTTTCACTTTATCATCTGCTTGTTTAATGCCAATGGGCATTTGTGAGACGTTTCCTCCATGCAAATTGTGTTTTCCACTTTTAACAAGAGAGCATCCTTAGTTTTAGCTTTTTTGATTTCTGTTCTAGGTTTCTCTGTAGCACAATTAACAAGAGGAGATCTTTACTGAGATTGTTCATTTCGGTTTCTTGGTTACTCTGGAGTACAAAATGAACATGAGGAGAGTGTCCATGAGATTGTTCATTTCTTTTCTAGGTTTCTCAGCAGTATAATGAACATGAAGAGAGTGTTCATGAAATTGTTCATTTCGTTTCTAGGTTTCACTGCAGTATACTAGTAATGGACATGAGGAGAGTGTTCATGAATTTGTTATTTCTTTTCTAGGTTTCTCTGCAATACAATGAACAAGATGAGATAGTTAGTGAGACAGATTCAATGGTGCTGACTGTTACTACTAACCAGATAGACGTGAACAATATAGTTGTTGAAACTTGTGCTAAGTATGTTGAATTTTTTTCATTTTTGTGATTGTTCTCCCCATTGTTGATAAGTCTTACTGGATAAAATAAACCAATCAAATCTGAGGTTAAAATATTTAAACAATTTAATCAGCACAGTGTCCATTCACAGTTTTTCTTAAAAGAAAATAATGCTTATAGTGTGAAACAAGTCACTCTAAATATTTTGGAATAAAACATGATACCATAAAATAAATTTTAGTACTAATAATATATAATATAGAGGATGAGAAATGTTTTCCACCAATTTACTTGGGAATATGCAAATCATATGTTATTGGTCATACTCGTTAATCACATCTTTAATGACTTTACTCCAAAATATGGTTCTTTCAGGAACAAGAAGGAAGGGCTTACTGGAATGTTTGTGGTAGAGATGGGAGTTCCCTCAGGTTTTGAAGCCAACACAAAGGACCTTGAAAATGAAATCACCAAAGACAATAATGACCTCTCTAGAGTTGAAAAAGATGTTAAAGGAAAGAAAGTTGTGGCATACCTGGACACGGTATTTTTTGCTTTTTTCTTATTTCTTTGTTTTAAATTAAACCTAAAATTCATATAAGAAACATCAACTGACCCAAATTTTTCATACAGGTAAAATGCCAAAAATGTGGATTCCTTTTATATGATAATGCACAACATTTTCATTTTAGCTTCCCCAAAATGAGTTTTGTATGACAATAAAGAATGAACGTGTGGCACCTGTGAGTAACCTCCAGAAAAGTGCAGTTAAGGCCTACTCGTACTATAATGTTGGTATGTACATGATGAAAATATCAATTTTGTCATTTTGTTGAACTTTGAAACTGTAGTTAGTGTAGCTCCTGTAGTCTGTATGGATTAGTTTAATGAGATATGTTCTTTCACATGCAAAGTTTCTTATTTCACTGCATGCCCAAATATTTCACTTAAGATAGGATACACAGATGATTCATATTTCACCCTACCTGAATATTGTCACTTTATATGGTATCCACTCCTGTTTTCCATATGTTTCACAGTACAGTGTTATTGCATGCACAAATATTTCAAATTATGTTTCACATTTCTAAAGTATGCACAATATTTTACATTTATGTTTTGCATTTCTATAGCATGCACAAGTATTTCACATCATGTTTATTTCACATTTCTGAAGCATGCACAAGTTTTTCACATCATGTTTAACATTTCTAAAGCATGCACAAATTTTTCACGTTTCTACTAAAACATGCACAAATATTTCACATTATGTTTCACATTTTTAAAGCATGCACAAATGTTTTTCACATAATATATGGGAATCCAAGAGATATTTTTTTCAAATTATGATCAAGTGAGTAGGAATGTACTGTCCTCCTGGAGGGTTCACTGTATACAAAATTTGATGCGGTCCTAGGCTGAACCCTCAGATATCAATATGTTCCCATACCAACTTGCCAAATTTCAATGTGTTCCCATACCAACTGAAATGACACCCAAAAGCCATACCAAATGTCCAAATATAAGACCAATGGCGTATCAAATGTCTAAATATAGGACCAATGCCATACCAAATATTAGACCAGGGCTATTCAAAATCTCTAGTGTCCCTAGAAGACATATCCTTGAGAAAAATGATCCAAAACAACCTCAAATTAAAGATATGTGAAACTACTAGACCAATGCCATACCATAATTGAGAGGTGACCATTCTCATTCCAGAAAACTATTCATTTATGTCCCCTGTAAGGCCCACCTGTAAACTTTTGTCTTGCTCGCATATTGGTGATCCATATACATGTATTAATCATATCACTGCACATAAGATCAGATTTCACATAATTCGCACAATGCATTTATGTTTAGACAAGGCTGAATTGATGTATGACCCAACACCAAGTAATCCTTCTCATGCCTGTGAATTATGTCGCGATTGCAAAGGATGTGCTAGATGGAAACAGAAACAGGTTGAACGATTACGAAAACAACTTGCAGAAGCTAATACACCAAAGATACAGCTACGTGGTGAAATTGATGCTCTTAAGATCAAAAAGGATATTATCTCTCTCAAAGTTGCTGCTGATGAAAGAACACTGAACAATAAGAGGAATCAATTCGAGACTGAAAGGAATAGAAGAATAAAGAAGAAGCTGAGGAAGATTGTCAGACAAATATCAAGGAATTTGAACAGAACAAATACAAAGAAATTGGCCCCAATTAAAATTAAGATAAAAGAAGCTGAACGTAAATTTAAAGAATTGGAAGAAAGATGTCGCAAGATGCTGAATGAAATAAAAATCTTAGAGACGGAGGAATAAAAACAATAATTTTTGAAGACAACTGTGCTTACCATTTAGTAGAATCATTAACATGATGTTTGTCTTGTGCTTTTGCTTTAATGCCTTTATTCGTTATAATTTTGTTCTTGAAATAACAGCTTTTTTATAGATTGGATGTCGCCATAAACTTGGGATTAACAATATTTTAGTTTGGTACATGCAATAAGATGCTGGGATTCCCTGTTCCTACTGAAAACAAAACAAAGAGCATTACACAGACAAATTTGTAACATTTCGCTCAAAGTTATATCCAATAAGATTACTCTGATTGGGAAAAGCGCGATAAACCAAATCCCAAAAGTATTTTAGATAGCATTTATATATGTTCCATGTCAGCATGTATAATTGCTGAATACTATATTGAAAAAGATGGTTGGTTCATAAAATCTTCACAATTGATTAAAATTCATCATACAGACATACATGTAGACTACCCTTATTATCCCAACGAACGATGTTCGTTAGGGATATAGTGAAGCCGTCCGTCCGTCCGTCCGTCCGTCCGTCCGTCCGTCCGTCTGTCCGTCAGTCAGTCAGTCCGTCCGTCTGTCCGGAAGATAACTCAAATACTAGTTGACAGATTTTCTTCATATATAGTGGAAAGATGTATATTGGTGAATAGTTTTACGCTAAAATCATAAATTTTTCATTCTAAACCAAAGTAATTAATATTATTGTTTGAATTTTTGGTAGTGTATTCACAACATTTATCTATTTCACATATATTCAGTGTTTTTCATCCTGACCCCCAGGGGCCATGTATGGGGGGACAGGAAAACAGAAATTTTCGCTAATTTTTAGATCTTTCTGAAGTATAGCTTTATTATACTCAAATGAAAGGCAATTAAGAGTAGATTGCAAATATTGTATCTTTTTTCTGATTCGAGCCTCATAAAATTCAAAATGGCCGTCTAATGTACGATTTCGCAATAATTTTTCGATCCCTTCAAAGTATGGCTATATTATACTCAAATTGAAGGAATTTTGGAGTAGATCACAATTATGGTATTATTTTTCAGATTTGTACCTCAGAAAATTCAAAATGGCTGCTTTGCAGGAATTTGCAATTCTAAAATCTAATTTTTTCATTTTCAACCAAAGTAATGAGTATAATTGATTGGAATTCGGTAATTGATATTTTGTTCGTTGGGATTTGCTACTCCGCGGAGTTGCCGTTATCTAGTATAGGTAGTGTTTAAAGAGTAACTTTTTGGGCTGAAACCTGCATCCATTCAACCAAGATAACTTGGTTCATTTACATGTATAATGGCTTAACCTTAGCAAGGACGTCTATCTATGTCCTTGACCTTAGTTACCATTTGAAGGGAATAAAAGGTGGTGATCTTTTGCTTCCATACTTCATAATTAGCAATGACCTTGAGATACATGATCATAGCTTCATAACTGCTTTTTAACATTTCAGATGAATCGCTCACTGTGTTATTTGACCCCATGGCTGGGAGTAGCCCTAGTGTGTGCGATGTTTGTGGCGTGGACTGTGGGTGTGACCCTCAGACAGGTGGAAACACAAGTTCCCAGACTATTGCTACAAGCCTTGGCTTACTGCTAACATTTATTGTTGCCGTAATCGCGAGTTCTCTCGTTACATGTTAAAGGACATTATCACTCTCTTTGTGTCAACATAAGGAGCTTTCATGCTAACATAAACATGTTGATGGTTTGTTTTTGATTTTGAGACCACAGGTACTCTTAGTAATACCATTTTTAATTTTAAATAATTGAGATGTAACACATATGAGTCGTTTTTAAATGGATATTGAAAATGATACTCAAGAATCTAAACTGGCCAATTTACTGCATTGAGTAGAGATACAATCTAAAAATTCCAGAAATCACAAGGAATTTTGTTGTCTGGAATTAATTAGATATTTTTTAATATGACATAATTTAGACACTTGGAACAGACCTAAGTCTTGGTAACCTAGAATTTGATCTGATTGAAATATACAAGGGTTTTCCTCGAAAGAAAGGAATGTAAAGTTATTTTGGATTGAGTATGCACAAGAAGTGCAATATTGATATATTTTTGATCATTTTTTATATCATCATTTGGCCTAAAAATATTTTAATGTTATTTGAGGTAAAATTACCTTTGATGAAAAACTTTTACCAAGCAATTGGCATGCAGTCTACTATTTTTCTATAATACCGCATTAAACAGAAAATTGTTTATAATATAAGGCCTTGTTTGGTATTTCTATTCAACTTAAGAATATATTCCAATAATACATTTACAATATATTGTACATACGGTAATTTGATTTGTATATTTAGGTTGTGGATATTGAAGAAGCATACTCTGAATTCTGAAAAATATTATTTGAATATGCAAAAAAAAGTATTTTAATAATATGGGTGAGAAAAATGGTAAAAATGGAATGGCAAAAGAAATTGGAGATATAATGGAATATAATGTTATTTTTGTAAAATAACTGATTCGACAAATCTGTTGTGTTATTTTCTTTTGCTAGTTGGACATGAACAATTGCAGAAATCAGAGTATGGCTCTTTAAGTTTATATTTTATTCCAGCTTTTTAGAGAAACATACATGTATTTCCAAAAAAGAGAATCCTTGTACAATATGTCTGTTTTATCATTTCTTCAATTTTTGAAATATTGCAATTATTCCAAGCAATAATGTAAAGAATATAGTGCATTACTTCTGGGACAACCCTCGTACTATATGACTGTTTATTCTTGATTGTGCCGTGATCATGATTAACTCATTGGATGTAATTATTGACATGTAATTATCTTATTTTACAGGGAATCTTTTTAATGTTATCACGAATTATATACATACTTTGCAGTGCTATAAATGATGAAATAGTTAATACCACTTTTAGGGATACTCAACCAACCTCAACAATGACCTGGTTATTGTATTATATTATTCCTATCCAAATTTGTGGTATAAAAATGGAGTTAAAAAATGTCTTCATGGAAGTGATATACAGTAGAATTTGGTAAGTGGAACGCCCTTGGGACCACAAAAAAGTGTTCCATTTGCAGGTTGTTCCCAGAGGTTCATGAACATGGAGTCAATGAGCCACAGAACTTTAAAAATGTGTTCCACTTGTGAGGTGTTCCACTTACAGAGGTGTTCCATTAAGCAGCTTATATATATTTTCATATATTTGTAGAATAAATAAATATGTTGAATTGAGTATCCCTTTAAATATTAACTTATATGAAATTCGAAATACAGCTGAATTTTTGATTTTCTTGATATATACACACTAGTACACTTTAAGGCTTTTAGATAAATGAATTCAAGTATGTGCAGGGTATGTCATATGCAACTTATTGTAGCTTTAAAATCTCATTTTTTATTATTATTATTTGCATAAATTGTACAGAAATTCTGAATTTCCATAAAGGATTATGTGAAAATGTGCTGTTTATAGTATATTTATAATGTCTTAAACACAAATTATGTAAAATATAATTATAACTAATTTCTATTTTTAGTATTATTTCAAACAAAAAAATTTAAAGTAGTAATTCAAATTTGTAAATCTTGTATAAATATATATGATGTGATGGGTTGATAGGTATCTGGTAAAAATACTCAAAAATCTTGAGACAATTTGCATAAGTTTGAAGAGATTACTTCAAATCTGGAGCATTAGATTTTGGTATAAAGGACGATTCTCGGTTTGGAGAACGAAGTTCATCAATCTAAATGAGCATTATCCCTGCTTCGGACAAATTTGATTTTTTTTTCATAATTTAGATTTGAATGTCTTCTTTTGAATAGTCATAATTTAATTTGGGTAATATTTCTAGATTTTTCGCCAAAAAATATTAGCGCAGTACACTGAGGAACTTCTTTCCCCAAATCGAGACTTGTATTTTATTGAATTGGTCTAAGTGAACATTACCCCTGCTTCAGACCAATTTGTTATTTTTACATCTTGTAGATGTAGGTAAATGTCCTCTTTTTAATATTCATAGTTTAATTTGGGTAATATTTCTATATTTTTCATGAAAAAAATTATTAGCCCAGGAGACTGTTCTCCAAACCGAGAATCATCCTTTGAAAAAACTGGATCTAATACTCTTTTAATGGGCACTTTTAAATGTTGGAGTATTTCTTTATAGCTACTAAAGTTAAGATATGAGGGTTATGTTATGGGAGGTTTTGGATATGGGGTATATCCTGAGGATGATATAGATATCTTACAAAGTGCCTCGATGGTCTATGACTCTACATACCTATCAACCCAGCAGTGTCATTATTCTGCACAAATCATTTTTAATCGCCTTTAGCCTAATTTTGTAAGTATATTTTAAACTCATTAGGTACAAAATTCCCCAGATATGTGGACATATGCATATTTTCATGCAGGGTATGTAAGGAGGCTGTTTGATTGGAAAAAATAACTGATAGATGCAATGCTTTATCTCCTGATTACACCATGTATTACTACCAATTTCTTCTAGGATCCAGACTCATTCTGCTCCTTTGTAATTTCTCAGTTTGAGAAATGAATTATATGTTTTCCTGACAATTGAAAAAACAAGTTATTTTTTCACTAACTCGGATTTAACATCCTATTGTATTATTCTGATCACTAGCTTGGTTGGACAGATAAGATTGTGGACAAGAAGTAGATTCTTATTACTGAAAAGTTATAAAGATGGCAGGACTGTCTTTTGATTTGTTGGACACCTTTCAAGGTTGAAAAGTCTAACTAAAATGCCACAGCATTTATATTGAGGATAAAATATATGTGTATATGTCTAAATATCCTGGGGAAAGCTTATTAGTTGCAGTGTTAACTCAAACTGAGAAATATGAGAACATATCATCAAGCATATAATTTACGAGATTATTTAATTTTTTACATACTTGGGGTAAAATCTGCTGATTTTTATTAAATATTTATAAATTGTTGCACTGCAACTAATGAAGCAAATATTCTTTTTTGTACAATTGTTAGTTACTGTTTCTTTAAATGCAAAATAAATTCTTTCTTCAAACTCTGTTTTTATTGTGAAATAAGTACCATGCACACAGTCTAGTTATAAACTACCCTCTGCCTAGATAGACTACAGCCCCACGATCGGTGCCTGTGACAGCCAAGTCATAAATTATTTCAAATCTACCACGCTGATCTTTTCTCAGTCAATCAGCGACCTGAAAGGAACACGTGCTAAATATATGCTCATTATCTATGCAATGGTCTCGGAGGAAATGACCATATATAGAAAGTTGTCCGTAATTCGATGACGAACTCTGATTGGCTCGGTGAGATCAGAGATTTATTGTAAACTGAAAAAGTGAAGATGAAGCTCTCTTTTAATGAAGTGAAGTCGAACGAATGCATATGGTATGAAATAAGTCTCACACTTTTTTTAATTTCCAACCTTTGATGTAACTGCTTAATAGTAAAATAGATGGCGAAAAGTACATTTGCATTTGCTAATATTAAGCTTAGAAAGCCCAATGCATTTTGAGAATCCCCTCTGCAAGCAATCACAAAATGTGTGTTCTTGAATAGTGCCATTGGAGTGTTCTTAGTTTATATGCCCAACCTTGAAATATGTGGCTCATGTTACATGCCCTGCTGATCCAGTAGATGTGTCTTATTTTTCTTTTCTAATGTAGTCCCTGTTTAGGCTCATGCTCACAGGACTATGGGGTCAAGATGACCATTGTTAGAGGTTGAAGGTCACATTGATGGGTCAAGGTCATATGTAAAATATGTGGGCTTTGTTTTACAGAGGATTCACAGTCATCCTAGCTTGAATAAATTTCTAATCGTAAATGCAACTTTCGGCTATCAACTACCGGATTAACCTATTTTTTATGGCAAACTCATTTAAATATCAATATAATAGTGGCAGGTTCTATTCATATTTAAATGACTTGGTCATAAAATAGAGGTTAATCCGTCAGCCATCAGTTGAATTTGCAAATATGAGGTACGTTCCTTGTAGTCCCTAATGATTTGTAATATTGATAAAAGCAGAATAACAATTTTATTTTTATGTTTTCTATATCCATTTTTATTCTATCTTTTCTAACATTTCCTATATGTTACATGACTATATGACCAATTCATAAATTACAGTTTTCAAATAATGGTCTACATAATACTACTCTTTCTCTCTCTCTACCACACAATATAGCAATACTATTATGATCAATTAATTAATCAATTAACTAATGATAATTAATTGATCAATATTAAAATTTTCATCAAAATCAGTTGTTTTTTATAAATGGCATAACCTTAGCACCTACTACGTTATACATTGCAAATAATAATAATTCAAATGCATAAAATTTGTTAATTAAGACTCAATCAAATTCATAATCTAAGTATATAGGTAGATGCTACCTAAATAACTAAAGTAAAATAACAAGTGCGCATAAAAATATAATGATTTAAAATAAAATGTTACTGAGTATCGGTTGATGATGGAGCTCACTTAATGATGTGAAATCAAAATTCCTCGATTCTACCTTTTTTGTCAACGAATACTTTCATAAGCTATTGAAGGAAGAAAATGTCACAAAATAGTTTTAAGGACTCCTTAAAATTTTGCATCATTATGACATCATTATGTGAGCGATATCGCCATGGAAGGAATAACAGAATAAACAATATTGTGTGCACTTTACAGTGCTTGTCATCGAAACATGGAAGTCCGTGCAAATGCATAACTGCTGTACTGTGCAGTATTGGTGTACACATTTGATGCATAAATTTGCACATTGTTAGGTAGCAACAAACATAACGGTTTAAACAGAAACAGCTAGAAATTAAACATTTCAAACATATAGAGACATTATATTATTACTTTAGCAACAGAAATTCAAACAAATCAGTTTTCCTATTCTTGTAAAGATAGTCGGTAAAAGGTTATTGATGATTTACATATGATATCATTGGTTGCCAAGACAATAGTTGCTAATGCTATAGCTTTGGTTACTAGCAAAAATACGGTTACCAAGGTAACAAAATATTGACTAAGAAAACTCCTTTCAGTTTTAGTTCCTTTTTAGGAAGACTGCTACAACTATGATTCAAGTTTTCAGCAAATATTTTATGGAGAGAAAATGTGTTAGATAACTGCTAGGGTAACCAAATAGTCAGTATTTCCCAATGTATTACATATATTGTTACATTTTCTCGATTACATTTTTAAATACACATATAAAACACTAGTTACATCATAAATAGTATATTCAATGCATATATATAGTATGCATTCTACATTCAATATTGAACATTATTTTAACGCAACTTAATAATAAATATATGTATAGCCCAATTGTGTACATACTTTCCAATGATATGTTAATTGTTATACTATACAGCACAATTTTAACACGATAAACTTTAAGTATATACATTGAATCGTGGAATATCCCTGTATTATGAATATAATTAAAATACATATAGAGTATAGTGTTATTAAATTGAACATATAGCGCATACTAAAAAGCATATAACAGCAGAATATGCCCATATATGGGTCGTTTTCATATACACCTAATATCATTTTGTAATTCTCAGGTAGTTTGCCCTTAGATACAATTGCTATATTAACTTGAATTTCATGAACTCATGTACTTCATGTTTATCGATATGAAAAACATAAAAATGTATGACATTGAATAGTTAACTACATGTACTGTATATATTATGGCCGTTTACATTTCCACAGATATATACATGTCATTTTACATTTCAATACTATTTACATTTTATATACCACCTTTTAGCAGCTGAGTTTAGTACCCTTTATATATATTTACAATGTATATATTATAATGTACATGATATAAATTACATTTGTGGTTAAGTATATAAAAGTACATGGAGTATAATTTACAAGTAAATTCCTTTACATTTCATCTGTAATATCGTTGATTTACATTTTTTTCACTTGTAATAAACTTTCAAAAAACAAAAACTGAAAACAATACTTGTATCATAAAAATAAAAAACTGGGACATTCTACAATATTATAATTGAAAATTGAACTTGAACATAATACAAATCAGCTTACTATAAAATTGGATATTTCACCAAACATCCATCAACAAAATCAATTTTCCGTATCAAAAAACAAATATGATATCTGATGGAGTCAAAATTGTGCATTATTCTTGGCTTCTTGGTACAAAGTTGAAGACCAAATAATAGCAGAACCCTAACAAAAAACACAAAAATATAAAACAAATGACATTTTCAATAATTGAAAACAACAGAGTGCTTGGGGATTTTATGAAAAAATTAAATGAGAAATATTTATGTTTCAGCATTAGAGTTAATCATAAAAATCATGTAAAACCATGAAATTAGTCAACATTTTGCTCATCCCGAAAGGGTCTGTACTCCATAAATCTCAAATACCATTTCCCAGACCCTGCATTGACAGCTATATGTATCAAATTCATCAAGTACCCCAACATTAAAGTTATCTCTGTTTCATAAATAATAAACAGCCCTCAAACCTTGCATCTTGCTTTAGCTACCGAGCTTAACAATAAGACCACACAAGGCATAATAGATAACTCAAATCAGCCATCGGAAGTTTCATGATAATCATAATATTTCAACCAAATATTTCATCAACACATACTTCATGAGGAAATATTACTTTAGCCAAGATAAATTTTTTGATGATTCATTAAACCATAAAATGCATTTGATTCTATGAAATTAAATATTTTTTTAAAGTGTTCGAGCATGGAGGTCGAAACTTGTGTTTGACCTGTCAGCGCATGAAGGGGTTCCCAATATCGGGCCTTAGAAGTTACACTAACAATCTTAATATACACTCGCTAACATAAGACATTCACATAAACATAACGTAAATTAAACATTTCTGGAAATTGTAAAAACCAGACCATCGTTTATATAACAATTCAGCAAAACACTGAATTTTTTACATCAAGTTGTTATGTTATTTTAGCTAATACTCATTTCAGCATCCTTCATTTGATACATGTACATTATTGAATTTACCCAGTTTAACTCATAAATATACATTTAGCATACACTTACATACATTGTATGTATAATCATGGCATTAATCTATGTACAATGTCAGATTTTCACACTCCGCTATCTATTATGCGGTGACAGGTTTTGGTGACTCATCCGACCTTCTGTGACCTTGCACATGACTGGGCATGTGACCCATCATGTGAGACTCAAACTGTCCAATAGAAGTGCAGACTTTACTACAAATATGACAAGTAGCCTTCCAGGTCCATGTGTGAGGTTGTGCAGGGCTTCTCTGTTCTGGTGACCTTGATCTAGGTCGTGACATTGGTGATCTCGGTCTTGACATTGGAGATCTAGGTCTTGACATTGGAGATCTAGGTCTTGACATTGGAGACCTAGGTCTTGACATTGGAGATCTAGGTCTTGACATTGGAGACCTAGGTCTTGATGTTGGTGACCTTGACCTTGGCCTTGACATTGGTGATCTTGACATTGGTGACCTTGACCTAGGTCTTGACATTGGTGACCTAGACCTAGATTGTGACATTGGTGACCTTGACCTAGGCTGTGATAATGGTGACCTTGAACGTGATCTTCTATGTCTATTTTCACCATCTCTAATGTTATTTGGACTATGAAGTCCTGGTGATTTCATGTGCTCTCCCTTCATGGCCATGTCCAAGGGAATAGGGGGATAGTGTCCAGGTAGTCTCTGCATGCCTTGAATCACGGAAATTTCATTCATTTTTGGTGACATTCCATTTGGAATACCACCATAAGGGAAGAATAAATCACTTGGAGGTCTATGGGGGAATCCCATACTTGACATCATCGGTGGTGGTACATCGACAGACATACGCCTACCCCTACGCGATGGCCCATTGTTCCACATATGTGTCCCCATGTGAACCTTGAGGTTACCCTTGGTGGTGAAAGCTTTGCCACAAACAGTGCACTTGAATGGTTTGTCCCCTGTGTGAGTCCTCATATGAATCTGCAGGGCACTTGCACTAGAGAAGTTCTTGATGCAAACTTGGCACAGGTGCTTGCTGTTTCGTTTAGGGTAGGGGTTTGTCATCTGGTCAATAGCGGGAGGACGTTTGGGGGTGAGACTTTGTGGCATGGGGGTTGATGGCGAGATTACTGGGGCAACATGGGTGGCTGGGGACGTCATCATAGGATGTGGCAGCTCTGGGGCACTCTCTTGAGGATGCGATCGCCTTGGCTCAGGGGAGGAATCCTGGGATTTGTGGGTCAGCATATGTTGGCGAAGATTCCCACGTGTCGTGAAGGCTTTTTCACAGGTTGAACACCCGAATGGTCGAACCTTTGTATGTGATCTATAGTGAATATCTAGAGCACTTCTGCAGGCAAATGTTTTCATACAGATGTTACAGGTTGTGGATGACTTAAGGGTATCATACGGGTGGGTCATGGGGATACCATGATCTAGGGGGCTCCCTGAAACATCAGAGTTGAAGCTCTCATTTGTTGCATGACTGTTGGTTGGGGATTGCTCTCTGGATCTGGATCTGAAGGGGGACCTTCTTGGAGATGGTGCTAAGTTATCTTCTACATTATCATCAGAGATTGGAGAGTGTGCTCTCTCACCATTTGAGAGTCGTTTGTTGTTGTTGTCTAAGTGCTTGTTGTCGCTATGGTGATAAGAACTAGGGGAGTGGTTGAAGTGGTGTCCATGTGCGGAGTGAACTTTGGGTGGTTTGGCGGGACTTACAGCACTGACCGCTTTGACACGTTCTTCAAGTGCAGCAAGAGAGGTAGAGAAACTAGGCATCATACCAGAGGTAGCCAACATGTTATGTTGTCCTGGCAAGAAAGGACTCCCAAGGCCTGCAAAGGGGTTATGCCCAAATGGATACATCGGGAATTCTCCAGGGAATCCCATATGGGGAAAGGGATATCTCTCGGGCAATGCTGGGTGATGATTTGGTTTTTTCTCATCTTTGGCTTCACGTTCTGTAGAAGGGGATCTTCTGTCACGTTTATTGGCACTGTTGTCTTCATCATCAAATTTTTCATGCTTTGATTCAGAAAGGTGATGTTCCCTGTCATGATTACCATGGTGTTTTCTTTCATGATTACCATGCTGTTCCCGGTCATGGTTACCATGGTCTTCCTTCTCATGACTAGCATGTTGATCCCTTTCCCTACTACCATGACGTTCTCGATCATGACTGCTATGATATTCTCTATCATGACTGCTGTGATATTCCCTATCATGGTTTACGAGGGAGAGTGGTGTATCTCCTTGGCGTGGAGATCTATCATGTATCACGAGTGATGTAGGTTGTTCATCACATGACCCTCTACGACGTAAATCTTCAGAGTGTACCGACTGGCGATCTTTTTCAGAATCTTCATGATCTTCTTGGCTTTTGGGTAGACTATGGCTTCTTTCACTTTCCATTTCCAACATCATTTTTCTTTCCATTTCGCTCTTGATGAACCTTTCCCTTTCTCTTATTAGTCGTTCCCTCTCATAATTCAGAGCTGCTTCTGAGTCAGATCTTGGAGAACGAAGTTCACGAGACTCACGACGTTCATGGTCATTTGGAGATTCAAGTTCATCATCATCTTCAGTTGATCTCTTTGGCTTACTCAGGTCTAATTCTCCACCAGGGGCCATATGAGGGTTTGGCAGTTGATAGAATGGATGCCCTGTCATCATGGGTTGCTTCAGGTGTTCCATTTGTTTCGCGAACATCTCGGAGGTAGCCTGCTCAGTGTGTATGCGTATATGTTGTTGGAGAACAAGGGCATTGGTGAACTGCTTGTGGCATACAGGGCATTGATGCATCATTCTCATTGGTGGCTTGGCACGGTGAACCCCCATGTGGGTTTTCAGGTTCCCTTTGGTGGTGAATGCACGACCACAGATTTTACACTTGAATGGACGCTCGCCAGTGTGGATCCGATAGTGCATCTGAAGGGCACTCTTACAACTGAGGATTCTATGACAAATAGCACACTGGTTAGGATCTGAGAGTTTTTGTTCAATGTTCTCTACAAGTTGTTGAAGCTTGGAGGTCTCCGATTTTGAGCACTCCATATACTGCTCCATGGGATCTTCAACCTGCGAGGGAGGAAGGATTGAGAGACGCTGAGGGAAAAACATTGGATCAAATGGCATCGGTGGTATCATATGTGGCAGGGGGCCAATCGTACTGGGGATAGGAATTGTGGGAGTCATTGATGATGTCAAATTAGTTGATGTTGCTAGCGATGCAGACACATTACTCAACCTCTCTAGTGGTCCTAGAGATGATTTTGGTGGATCAGAATGAGGTTTCATATCAAAATTTTCCCTTTTCTCATTTTCATGGGGAGATTCGGAGAAATATCGCTCATCATCAGACATATTCTCATTCTCGAGATCTGGCGAAACTGACCTTGACCTTTGGGGAGATGGGGCCATTTCTGAAATTGGACCACCAGGTGGCATCATAGGTATTGGTTTGTCGTATTTGTCAAGATGTTCAGGAACTGGGTTAGGATTCATACGGAGATGAGGGTACTTCATTCTATGACGCGAGAAGTGAACTTTAAGGTTGCCTTTGGTTGAGAAGCGATTGTGGCAGACATTGCATTTGTAGGGTCTTTCTCCTGAAAATACAGAAAGGAAGAACCATTGAAATAACAAATATACATGAATATATTATCCATTATAATCTATTGAAATACATGTAATATGGGATTGACAATTAAAACAAATACATGTACATGTTACAAATATATGTACATGTTGCAAATATATGTACATGAATATATCTAATATGGGTAGACATTTATGGGTAATAAAATCATCAGAGTCTATTATTCAACTCAGTAGTCTTGCATCAAGTCTTTGAACACTCCTTATTTTTACTTCACCTCCAAATATATATAGGGGGGGGGGTCACAATTAGGGCTTGGAGCAAAACTACCAAATAATCAATGAAGTTTGATTCAAGGGAAAGAAGGTAAGCCTAAGAAGTGAACTTTCACAATAATAATATAACAATAATGAATGTAATTTGTGGTGAGTTACATGATGACATAATATTCAATATATTAGATGTCTCAACATGAAATATGGGCATCGACTCTTTAATTTATTCTACAAATAGGATTATACTTAGAAATATCTATGTATTATATCTTATAATTATCCCTCAGAAGGGCTAAACCCTTTATCAATTTCTGAATGCTGTCTTAATTAGGCCCACTTTCCCTTCCATATATTATATTAATATCTTAATATCTATGTAGTGTTGAAAATAATTATTATGAGAATGATAGAATAATACATGAATAACTTAATGAACAGATTAAGGTAGATTGTTTTATTTTCCTAGTGTTTCCATGGTAATAATTTTTGAAAGGTGTTAACAAGAAAGATTGGTTAAGGTTTGAGGATTTAGGACTAATGATGATAAGTTGCTTTGTGGAATTATTGTAATTTGCAAATATGGCTTACATATGATATCAGTATATTATATCAGATAATGTTCTCAAGTTGAGCATGCCATCTTTAACAGTAGGTATGGCCTTAGAGTTTATGTTTGCACTGTATGTTAGTCTTGTGTTAAGATCTTAGCCTCTCCCCATTCTCTAAAACACTGGGTGGGGGAAATAGAAAGGATCTTGATGCAAGACTATCGATATATATATATATATTTTTTTTATTTATACCAATTTAACACATCTACATATACAGTACATTGAACATCAACGTTAAAAATCCAAAAGAAAATTTGGTCAATTGAGAATCTGTCCATGTCAATAAATTAAGGATTGTCTCAGATGTATAACTGTGCATTATAATACTATGCATTACCATGGATTATTGCACAGTCTGTGATGGCACTGTGCATTATACTGTTCTTCAACCTCCTTGGAAGTGCTTTCACTTATATTAGAACTAGAAATGCTTGAATCTTCATCAAAAACTCCTCTTAAGTTACGCCTTGAAGGAACCTCTCTTTGAGATTCCCTTTATGATAATTATGATCTGAAGAACTTCCACATAATAACGATCAAAGGAATTTGCGTACTTGCGGAATATTATTTAAAAAATCAAGATATTTAATAGTATTAATTCATACATACGTATAATATATTAGAAACTTTGATGTCTATTAATCTGCTTGTATAGCATTGGAGAAATTTAATATACGACATCTTGATAACACTCAAATGATACCTAAGGTGCTTTTAATGAATTTAGATCTTGACTGTACAAATAATTCTTATCATTTTTTGCCAAATATTCCGCTCCGAGGTATTATTCCCAACAGATTGATGAGTTAATCTTGTTAGAGTCTTAATTGTTGGAGGCTAAATCCAAAAATGCAAAAAATCGAAATTAAAAGTGTTGAAAAACCACCATAACTGAATCTAAAAGGGAAAGATGATTTCATATTCAGATTATAAATTGATGTGGCTTTTTGTGATGTGTTTTTGTATGAATTAATCATGTAATTTGAAAGTAAAATCAACTTAAGTGTTTTCATTAACTTTAAGGGTTTCAATGAGCATTGACCGATGAGATGAGAGATGACATGGGCAAATTCTGAATATGATTTCTGATTTTCATTTTAACTAATATATACCTTTTTAATACAACCATGATTGGCCAAGAAATGTAACGAAAGATTAACACAACACAATAAAAAGAGCAAGAACTCAGCTTGAATATATTGAAAAATCATGAACTATTTTTTTTGGCTGGCAAATTAATTAAAAAATTTGAAAATATTTCTCAGGAGGTTTTTACACTCCCAAAGAACAATATATGACTCTGATGTCAATATATGACTCTGATGTCAATATATGACTCTGATGTCATTAACAGACAAAGATCAAGAAAATTGCAAAGTTCGTATTGTCAAGTGCATGTCAATAACAAATATACTGTGTTATTTCTACCCAGTTTCATAAAAAATATTAATTACAAGTCTGGAAGATCAATGGAGTAAACTCCCAAAAGATTTCATTCAAGTTCTTCATATTTCTCTCAATTTCTCTCCAAAATTTGAAGAAAGGTCGTCAGTTTCTTGAAATTTTATACAAAGTAGAGTATCAGTTTTATGATTATTGAGTTTAAGTCTTGTCAATTCCTCTATTTTGATGTAAATCTGAAGAGGAATTTCCATGATAATAATGTGCTTTTATTACAGGGATAACCAAATGGTAGGGTAGCCCCTTTAAATATTTAATCCAGAGTATGTTTTTGCATGATGTATTACCTTAGAATGATATGGAATAAAGCTCGTTTGTTGAAGGAAACGTCATCTTAATAATATATAATAATAAGCAATGTTAAATAATTGAACATTTCTTGTCATTTTGATTGTGAATATTCTGATCTATGATGAGGAAAAAAGCATCTTGAAAATTCTGTTCATTTACTTTTTTTGATTAGTTCTCCCTTCATAAAAACCTTTGATTATTCCCCAAACCCTGGGATATAACTATGGGATAAAATTCATATCTTACTCAAACTAAGATGATTCACATGTGATGTTTTTCTCTCGTTTCTATAATTGAGCTTCGGAGATTGGTCAAGAATTATGGTTATTACAAGGGGGCTTAACAGCAATGTAAGGGATCTTAATAAAGAGATTTCTCAATCAAAGAAGGAATTAATACACAAATATATGGCAACATTAAAGACAGGATCTAACTGAAAAATTTGATTTAAGAAGACAAAAAATTAAATTGAGCCATTCTAGCAAAAAAGCAAAACAACATACCCTTCAATATTGGAAGAATTTATGTATTAATACATATACCCAAATTAATAAATTTGATCAATAATCTAAACTATCCAAAATACAACACTAAATATAATATATGTACATTGTATATTATTTTCATATTAATTTATTGACATCAAATTAATGGATATTTCTAGAAAGGGTACCATCATGTTCTATTGTATTTTGTATTCAAGTCCTGCATGGTCAAAATCAAGTCTCAATTAGTTAGCACGTAAATAATTCCGCCAGACAGGACTTAATAAGCACAAATCAAAAATACAAGATGGACGCTACTGAATCTGCCTCGTAATTTAGACATCGTGAAATGGTTTTAATCTTCAAGGAAAATCACTCCCATTTGATCGCAGTTTATTTCAGTAAAGCATTAGAGAAGGGGAAATGTATAATCTTTTAAGATGTCTCTATAACTACGATTTCAAACATTTTTGCTTATTGAAAGTCAGATTGTCCAGTAAAAAAGCTTGAATTATTACCGAAGGGAAAGTAACTAGGGCCATAAATCACACAATGAAATTAAAAAGGGGAAATATCTTTTACTTTGTAAAACCCTATACAGCAGTATCAAAGAAAATGAGAGGGAAGATTACTTGAATAATTCTTTCCAAATCATAATGGTTTTTGTTCAGTGAACCCTATGCTGTTTTACATTAATGACACAAATAATTCTCAGATTTGAGTCATTTTCCGATCTCATTTCTGTAATTTGATATCCATACATCAAATAACCGCAAAAAAAGATTTGAAAAATCAAACAATAATAAAACAGAATTTATCTTTTAACCAGATTGCTCTATCTTTTCCATAAAAATAAACAATATCTGAAAATATGCAGAAAAAAACGTTTCAGTGCATACATATGACACGTTAAGCTTCATCCAGAAAAACAAGGATTTCTGAGTTTACGCCCGGAGCCAAAATATCACATAATTATCTTTCATTTTTACTGACGCATCTGTCTAGATTTTGATGTTCGTTTAGCTCATAGATCTTATGCATGTCAAAAACCATCTCATAAAAAAGTAAAATACGATACCTGTTGGGGACTTCAGATGTCATGGTAGACATTAAATATCAAGCAGTAATTAATTGTACGACCTTTCAGAAAGAAAATGTCGACATCATACTTTTAACACGTTCATCATATATTGATCATGTTTGAGTTATAAGTGTGAATTTGAATCTCATCTCCGGGGTGAAAACTCATGCTCCTTGGACTAAATCCAACTAATAAATGGTACACGATGCATCATGTGTTATTTGTATAATAATAGGGAAATCTGCCAATTTAGAACATAAATCAATCAGCATATGTTAGACCACTTGAGTAAAATATTTGTTACATAGCTTTCCAATTTCCAGCTCTCTGTGTTTAAAATTGAAATTTGTTTAAATGCAGTCAAGGAAGGTAAAACTACAACATAGCTCAAACTAAAAAAATTTTTTTTAAACCACTTGTCGTTTAGGATATAACATCATAATAATGACCAAGAAGGCAATTAAAGATACAAAGCAATGTACAAACTGATTTATCGTAAATGTAGGTCGTACTATAATATATAATATAATGATGATTGTACAATGAATCTTTTAGAAAATCTGAACCAACCAGAGGAACGGGAAAACCAGTGACAGAATTGTCACCATATTTGTTCTAAGAATATTTCACAGAGTTATTTTAAGAATGTGTGCAATTGGTCCAGCTATACCACATTTGACATTGAATGGCACACATTATATTTGCAGTGCAGTGGCAAAAAGTGAAATATGTTCTGGTATCATAGAGTTTAATCCGCTCTTATTAGCAGATGTAAAGATGGAGATCTTCATAACTTCATAATAATAAGCATGAATATAAGAAATTCTGTCATTCTTATTGAATCTTTCGTCATACCATATTGAATCTATTTCTTCCCAAGAATTTTTCCTATCCCAAGAAAAGATGTCATGAATGTTATATGTACTATACAATGTATACAATTCATTTTTACTTCTCAGAAAAATCACCGCTTTACTGTTTTTCACACAAGGTATTTATTTATTAATCAAAAATTCAATCAATTATTAATTAATATTGTATAGTTAATTAATTGATTACCTGTATGTGACCTGATATGGATTTCTAATGCCTTGTTACTACTGAATACTTTGCCGCAGTATTTACAACGATGGCGGAAGAATGGGTCATCGGGCGTAAATCGGTTAGTCTCAATACCAAAAAGGTTTACATTTGGCGGTTTGCCTGAAAAAATAGAAAATTGGAATTCAGAATTGAAATCATAATAGTTTAATTTTGATTAATATTGTTATTTTCTGTGCATTGGTTAAATTTTGTTAGTATGATTTTATACGAAATTTCTATTTTCATAATTTAGTTAGTAATTGTTATAAATCGTTATAATAGTGATAATAAAAATTTGCAATGTGTGTCCTCTTGACATACCAAAAATATGTCTTATATCGAACATATTTTTGAAACAAAGTATGCATTTAGAGTTATCAAAAAACCAACGAAACCAGATTAAGAGAAGTAATAAATTAAAGAACAAAAATTACATTTTAATTAAGCAAGATTGTGCTAGTGTACTAAAGCACTGAATTACTGGGCATTATTTTCAAAAACAAAACACCATAATCGCCAAATCATGACTTCAAATAATCGCTGGAAATACCACCACTATGTTGGAGTATGATGGGCATGCCACCAGGCACCCATGCAAAAAATACATGACACAAAAATTTAATAATTTAAAGGTCATATACCTCTTACACATGTAAGTTGCATCTTTACATAATTCAGATTGTTAATTCTGTGTTCGTTAGCTTAATTTCCTTTAAATTCCTCTAAATCTTGTTTTGTACCGTATTTTTCGATTAAAAATTAAAACGCAACTGTTTCAGCTAAATGCCACATTAATTTGCCACTCCATATGCAATTATTTTTTACATTTATCTCTGAAATTCAATATAGTTGTATTTAGGGTCACTTATTTTCAAACAAAATGCTTATTATTTCCGATGACTTTTAATTGGACCTAGCAGATGTTTATTTTTTCTTGAAAACCTCCAAACCTCAGATACTTGTTAAATACCGTAACTGCAATTGAGATGTAAAAAACCTTGCTAAGTTGTTCCGTTATTTCCATAATTAATACTTATGTTTTTTTTCAGATTCCTTTTATAATAAGCACTTATAGAACTATATTTATTCATATTGTTCATGAAGATATTTCCGACAATTTCCTTTTGATATAATTGAATGTGCGTAATTTGTCTGTCAGGAATTCTCTATGCTCAGTGCATCTAGTTTATTGTTTTTTATTGTATAATTTCATAATATTCTTCATATCATAAGGAACTAGGCTTGAAGAGAATACTTACTCCCCCCCCCCCTCCTTCAGATGCCCATGTGTATTATCAGGAACTGGACATTATTATGAAGACAAATTTTCTTCATTTTTTAAAATAAAAATCTTAATCTTCAAAAGATTCGTAACTCACAGTACGGAGAGTCTGAAGTGCACTTATTAACCCCAAATTTACCCCACACATCATAAACTTCAAAACTTCCTCTTTTATAGGCATATCAAAAATATACATTCCTAACCATAACCCCTTACTGTAGATTAAATATTTCTAAGATAAAACATTAAGTCATATAACACTAACAAAACAGAACAAATTAATTTTCTTTTATTTATCTTTAGGTATCTTTACAACTCAGAATTTATATTTTAATTACTTAAAGATGAAGGACTATATTCTTTGATTGCAAAAAACTTACTCTTTGGCAGTCATATTTCTAATTAACATGGAATAAACAACATAAAATGTGTACCAATATGCACTTAATGCTAGAAACTCTAAACCTTATCCAACATAAAAAACTTCAGTGGATGGGGTATATTGTGAAAGAATTCTGACAAAATCAAAACTAACATTTCTCTAGATATTGTGATTTATATTTTGATAAAGTAAGGAGTCATAACTTTGATAGTATTAAGGAAGTATGAAATAATAAAATTATAGGTAATCTACCACAAAATAAAGTTTATGACAATGTCGTATATTACTGTTCTCACATTTCCTCTGATTTGGTCAGATGGCCTTAAAATGTATATTGAACTTCCTTATTTGTTTAAATAAAATGAAATTTGACATATTCAGATTTATGACTAATACAATCAAGCAGAAAAGACATAAACTGACCCAGCCCAACAAAAAAAACATTGATCCTGATTTCATGAATTTCATCATAATTCAGATTTCCCTAGATTTCTATATATATAAATGAATGCTTAATCAGTCTTGAATTTCATGCCATTCCATACTTATTCCTTGCATTCAACTTTGTTCCCATTCAGAAAACACAACCATGAAATTTCATAAATGGGCAAACTGATGACAAGGGAAAGGCTTCATATGTACCACATCAAATCTGAACAAATAAACAAAAGTGACAGAATATGTGATTAAAGCTACAGTTTTTCCACAACAAAATACTGTGCATGTATTATCTCTAGATAAGAACTATTTTATGTCCAATTTTGAAGGAATTTTGACATAAGTGTCAGATGAACATTTTGTGGCATTTTTGACTTTGATGCTATACCAGGTGCAATGACATGGTGGCCAAGTCTGAAGCCAAGAAATCGAAAGAAAAGAGTGAAAAGAAGAGAAAAAGATAGTCCAGATAAAAAATTGAAGACAGTATTAGAAAACCAGATTGGTTATTTGAATTTTAGAAGAAGACCACGATGAGAGATCATGTCAGTCCTTCGATAATACTTTTTTAAGAAACAAGCTGAGCAACAGAATAGAATGGAAAGAAACAGTGTTGGCCAATTTGGGGATTTTGACTTCAATGTTTTGTGGTATATAATGCATGTAAAACAGAACACTGAAATGTCTCAATGTACAATATGAGCCATCAAAGAAAGAGTACAACAGTGTAGTTAAGAGACAATAAAATTCTAGCTAATGATTTAATTAGTGAAACATGGTCCAAGGTAGGCCAAAGAATGAGTTATTTGCTCATACACGAACATGTTTAGCCAGCACACTCATCATACCTTAATGTCCCACACTGACCAGTTTAAAAAGATATAAAACAAAAACTAGATACTAGGAATAAAGAAAGAATAACATGGTATACTTTGATCATTTAGTAGTCTCCCAGCCATATCTGCTTTCACATTAGTGAACGTTTTACATTTAATGAAATTAAAAATAAAAGTGATCATGAGAACTAAAAGGTCTTCTAGTCATCAAGAGATACCACATTTAGACAGGTTCATATTTCAACTTAGTACAAAATACTTTTTGCACTTGTCTTGGATCAGTGCCTTGTTAAGCCACCCCCTCATTAAAGATTTGAATGGGGGGGGGGATAATGGACAGACATGCTGAGGAATGTCATAATGCCATATTGAGTGCATCTCTAACTGACAAATTTATTTGATATCATGCTAAATATATTTGATGTCATGTTGAATATATTTGATGTCATGTTGAATGCATTTGACGTCAGGATGAATTCATGAAATGAAACAAGAACAGATCATGCACTTAGCATCTTATAAACAAAATGTAATCCCATCATTATTACATCACCATGGAGATCATGAAGTCATCACCATGGAGACAGAGCAGAAAACATCCACCATAAATGTTTAGATTCTGAAGTAGCTACTCATAAGAAAATGTCAAACTTCTTCAAATTTCAAAGCTGTATAAAACCAGCTTCTCACAATATTTGCGCTGGATTGAAATACAAGTTATGTTATGAACATTTGTAATTCTATGAGCTGTAATTTTATCTTTATTTATTTTCAAAACTTGCTGATATCCCTTAACCTTCTGTCCCTTTGAACCCAATGTGTTGAAAATATAAAATTCTTGAAGTCAGTGGTTTAAAGAAATATTAGTCGCATAGGGAAATATTTATATATGTAGCTCGTGGGCTTAAATAAACTCACTGGGTCATTTCAGTTAGAAGTTTATAATTGATTGAGAAATATATATACAAGGGGACTGTACCTACAAAATAACAACTACTGAACTTTTGTCACCATACTTCAGAAAAAGTGTGTATCATTACTTAGAGAACTTTTTTCTGTCTATTATTGAATAGTGAGTTCAAAACAATTGAAGCAAATTCCTAAACTGGTGATCATTTGATCAGTCTTCGGTGACGTATTTTCGATATCGCAGATTTAAAATGCATTGTTATATGCACACATACATACAGTTGAATTTGCTGCTTTTTCTTGTTATGAATTTTTCTTGTTATGAATCGTTAAAACGCAGACTCTTAATCATTTTTGAAAGGGCATTCTTGGCTCCAAGTTATAGTTAATTATCAGGACATCATGTAACGCAATATTTTTGTTTATTTCCAAATACTTTTTTCTGTGTATTTTTGACTCATATCAACAAAAAAAGTGAATTTTGATACAAGTTATAAATATGGTGTTAGGGCCTATAAAAGATTATAGAAATTTAGCAACCATCAAAGGGGTCTTATCAGGACCCCTTGAAGTCATATTAAATTTAATTAGTTAATTATTAGAAGCCTCTGGGCATTTCACTGATGTCTGATATCAGAATTTGTAAATATTCTCGGAATGTTTTCAAACCATAAGCCTAGATCACATTTGTAAACTCTATGTTTACAGTTGTAAGATGCTATGATTACAACATTGAGAGGTTTTCCGAACATCAAATACTTTGAAATATGTTCAATACTTTGCCAGATGTTCAATACTTTGCCAGATATTAAATACTTTGCAAGATGTTAAATACTGTATAAAATTCTGAATACTTTGCAGACAGTTAAATACTTGCAATATGCTAGAAACTTATATGTGTTATATATAGTTTGTGATATGCTTGATATTTTGTAAAATGTTGAATACTGAATTACACTAAATACTTTGAAAGATGTTAAATACTATGTAATATGCTAGATACTGTGTAATATGCTAAATACTATGTAAGATGTTAAATACTATGTAAGATGTTAAATACTGTGTAATATGCTAAATACTATGTAAGATGTTAAATACTGTGTAATATGCTAAATACTTTGTAAGATGTTAAATACTGTGTAATATGCTAAATACTTTGTATTACTAACATGTTAAATACTTTGTGATATGCTTAGATCTTTGTTAGATACTGTATTACATTCTAAATACTTTGCTAAGCTAAATACTTTGCAGTATGTTGAATACTGTGCAA